TGCAACGGCCACTTCCGGCCACTGCAGCCTCGACCTGCTGGGCTCCGGTGATCCTTCCGCCTCAGCCTTCCAAGTAGCCAGAATTATAGGCATGCGCTACCACGCCCGGCTGATTTTTTTAATTTATTTATTGTAGAGATGAGGTCTCGCCTGCCATTCCCCTTGATGGGAGAAGATCATTAGAGGGATTGGGTGGTGGTCTACTTTCACGTCATCACAAAGGGTCATCACAGAGGGGCAGGCAAGCGCAGGTACTGATGATGTCAGGTGATGGACAGCAGGCAGATGGGTGAGTTAGTCACATGATTGCTGCCATGGTGGGGCTTATCTGTGTCACATAGTTCACAGGGTTGATTAGGTTGGGGGGGGGCGTGTGATTCCTGCAAGAGACTTGTTAGACATTTGCAATTCACAAACTCAGACATTTGCAAACTCTTATGGCTTTGGTCAGCCCTCTTTGATCTTCAGCTTTGACAAGGAACTAAAACGTTTACTAGAGATTATTATGCTAAACCATGAAGGATTGGGCTGTCCTGGTCTTGCATCTGAAGGAGATTTGCCTGGGGGGGGATAGGATAGGCTGCTGTTTGTCCTGCAGTAGAATGTCTGAATGCTTGCTAATCATTACACTGAGGCAAAAAAACTAAGAATAAGCTAAGTTTCTTCAAGGTTTCTATAGGTACCTTTCACTGAGGACTGGCATCCACAGTATCCTTCCTACCACCTCTTCTCTTCTGCAGATGCTCGAGTGGCGCCAACTACACTTTCCAGACCCTGTTGCAGCTAGGTGTCATATGCAATTTAGGATCTATCAGTTAGATCTAGGAGATTTCAATTCAGAATTGAGTTAAATGGGGGAAAGAGGCAGGGCATATGCTGTTCATTCCACAGATCATAGCACAGGCAGTGTGTTTTGTAGCTGATAGTGTGTTGATAACATTCCAATTTGCCAGACAGCACAGAGACTTAGATACTCAGTCTAGTGTTTTGTTTTTCAGCTCCCTTAATTTTCCTGCAACCCATGTAATATTCTGTAATAATTCCATTTCTGCATGTGCTAGCTAGACTATATTCTTTGCAAATGAACCCTAACTAATAAATTCCCTCCATGGCTCTGGTGTGTTTGTGACATAGATGTGTAAATTCACTTATGAGCAGAGTGTGTGTGTATGTGTGTGTGTGTGTGTGTGTGTGAATATACACTTGGGGTGGAGAGAGGGATTATGTGTGGGCTCTGGAGAGAACTCATGGATAATACTGGCATGTACTTCACTAGAAAAAGATGAAGAGGAGGACTTGAACACAGAATTCCCGATGCCCAAGTTCCAGGGACAGCCCAGCGAAGCTGTGCGCATCTTCTGTGGCCCAAATGTAGGCTTAGTGTGGCCCTGGAAGTCTCACCCTATTGCTGGTATCCTGGAGGTCCGTGGGCACCGCCTGTGGGGTCAGTACTTGCCCCCCAATTATAGGCAGCTTCAGGAAGACCTGGACAACAACCCTCGCATCCAGCAGGCAATGATGATACTACAGGTTCTTCTAGAGGTAAGAATGGAGGTTTACAGGGCAGGGTACTGTCCACCAATTCCCATCATAGCCACCTGCCTCTGCTCTAAGCCCCCTGTCTTCCCTTAGGGTGTGCTCTTGGAGGTACAGGAATTCTGCAAGGAGCATCACTGGACAATAGGCATTCATGAATTCCTGCAATCCTGGGGGCCTCAGAAGCTGGAGGACATGAGAGGTTGTCCCATCAAGAACTATATGCTGTTAGTGAGCCGCCTAAATGTTTGGCAGACCCAAGTCTCCAATATGCCTACCAAGTTGCTCACAAAAGGCAAGTTGCTGCTGCTGAGCTGCCATGATGTACAGGCAGAGATGGGTGAGTACAGCTTATCTTCCCTCTCTTCCTTCCTCCTTCCTTATGTTTATCCACATGGCCTGCCTTGGGCCTGCAGTGTCCTCCAGGGACCTTTGGGTCAGGCCTCCTCCTGGCCCTAGGTCCCAGGTTCTTCGCTATAAAAGCTGTGATCACTGCAGAGGGCAGCTTCTCTGTTTCGGCTCTCCTCATCGTACACTGTATTCTAGGAATCGTGTTCCTGTCACCTGATACTTTCTCTTCTTATGTAAAGGTAGTTTAAACCAAATGTGGCTGAGTAAAATCTTGGCATGCTCTTGGAGTTAGTGAGCTCAGTTTCTTTTTCTTTTCTTTTCTTTTTTTTGGAGTTGGGGTCTTACTCTGTCACCAGGCTGGAATGCAACCGCACAATCATGACCCACTGTGGCCTCACCTTCCTAGGCTCAGGTGATCCTTCTGCCTCAGCCCCTCAAGTAGCTGGGACTCCAGGTGCACACCTGGCTAATTTTCTTATTTTTTTGTAGGACAAGGTCTTACTATGTTACCTAGGCTGGTCTCGAACTCCTGGGCTCAAGCAATTCTCTCACCTCAGCCTCCTAAAGTGCTAGAATTACAAGCGTGAGCCACAGCATGCGGCCTAAACCCAGTTTCTTTACAGAGCTTCTTGGGAATCTGGGTTGCCCCTCTCTGCATGTAGCAGAATCAAATTTACTCTACAGCTTGCATATGTAAAACGTTAACTGATGTTGTCTTTATCTGTGGTCCTAACTTCCGTTGGTGGTTAAAGAAAAATATAACCTTCCCAATCAAGGAAAGCTCTTTTCATTTGAAGCAGTCGGTTGGTTTAGTTTGGTCTATTGGCCAATTCAAAAGTTATTCTGTGTTGTTTTTATTCTCAAGTGTCCTCTGCTCCCTTCTCTTTCCCAAGATGCCACCTGGCATTGGGGAGGGCCACTGGTCTGCATGCTCTTCTTTGCTGGCTTCTGAGTTATAATATATCCTTGCCTGGTCTCTGCCCTCCTGACATTACTGTCTCTGGTGCTGCTGTGTCCTGGGCTGCTGTAGCCAGGGTGTGTTCTCTTGGCCTAGTAGGACTGCAGAGTCTACCTTTGCTGACTCAGCCCCACCTCGGCTGTTACTGGCATAGCCCATCCTTGAGGTGTTAGTGAATCTTTCATCCAGTCTCTGTCCTAGGCAGCCACCCCCATAGCTTTTGCTTCAGGGTCCCTCACCCCTCAACAGAGGAACCTCATCCTGGCCCACTGACTATCAAGTATCCTCTATCTCTCATATCCCGTGCCATTTGGGAGCTGTGGGAGTCTCGTAAGCATCATATCTGGCCTTCTTTTTGCCACAACACATCACACTATGATTTCTACTCTGCTGTGGCTATTTCATGTTAGCACAGGGCGCCCTCACCCTAAAAAGTGGTCTCTTCCCAAAGTTCCACATGGAAAATGAGATTCAAGAGCACTCTACTATCTGTTTTGTTCTCAGCCCTGTTAAAGCTTCCTTCCTTTTGCCACTCCCTACTCTCACTAGATCAAGACCCAGTTGTTAGTATCCTTGGGTCCCTGAGAAATCTGGTTTATGACCTTGTCTCTCTCTCCCTTCTTGTATCTTGCTCCCTTCCCATGGGAAGAATGTCTCGTGTACTAGCTAAGTGCCTCAACCTGGCAGCTGGTCTTGGAGAGGCTCACAGTCGGGTAGATTGGGAAATCAGTGATTTGTTCTAGGAAACAGAGAGGGTGTTCTGTTTCCCCACCAAGCCCCCGAGGATGGCAATAACCAATAGTATCCACTTTTTGCAGAGACTGGATATACCAGATCCATGGTTTCCAGGCCTGTTTTCTTTCTTTTTTCTTTCTTTTTTTTTGTCAGAGTCTCGCTCTGTCGCCCAGACTGGAGTGCAGTGGCACACTCACGGCCACCGTAGCCTCGACCAGCGGGGCTCAGGCAATCCTTCCACCTCAGCCTTCCAAGTAGCTGGAACCACAGGCACGAGACACCATGCCCAGCTAATGTTTTTGATTTATTGTAGACATGGGTCTCGCCAAGTTGCCCAGACTGGTCTCGAACCCCTGGGCTCAGGCAATCCTCTCACCTTGACCTCCCAAAGTGCTGGGATTAGAGGCGTGAGCTACTCATGCTGGGTCAGGTCTGCTTTCTTTATGAATGTGAGAAGCCTTGGAACCACGACCTGGAAAGGATTACTTGAATGCCTACCCTTCCCTGTCTTTGCTTCTCAACAGGTGAAAGCTCTTACCTCATTAGGTATCTTATGGGCCACTAATATTCCTGCTCTTGTGCAGAGGGTTCAGGCTAGCAAGACAGGAACAAGGAGGCCTGTGATCAGTCTCATTTTTCTCTGGTCCTATTTTGGGCAGGCTCCAAAATTTTCTGTTTTCTCTCTAGCTTGTTAGCTTCTTGATTCTTAGTCCAGGGTCAACTAGCAAGAAGAGCAGGTGGACAGAAATAAGCACTGGGTGTAGAATCCTGGCCCTGTTTCCCACTTGCTCTGTACCTTCAGATCTCTGTGTTTCAGTTTCTTTATTTGTAGCCTGGGCATGACAATATAGTCACTCATAGGGTTATAGTAAGGAGGATTAAATGAGATGTTATTTGCAATACTCCTAGCATTCAATATGGCATGAAATAGTTATAAATTGTCTGTTTTCATTTAATCTTCTCCCTTTCTGTCTACTTTCATCCTTCTTGCTAATCTAATTTTATTTTCTTATCCTCCAACTCTTCTTCATCTTCCTGGGCCCCCTTGAACAATGAATGGCATAATTATTCACTCTGGTGAGCTGGTCTCACCAGAAACTTGGGCTTATCTTTTACTCTTCCCACTCCTTAACTCGACTACATCCAAACTGTCACCAGGTCCCTTTCATTCTTCTGTCTCGTAAATATCTCTCAAATCTGTTTTTTATTCATCCCCAGTTTCCAATCCCAAGGAGCCTGGGTATTTTATCAGTCCATTGTTCCTTCAAACCATACGGTGTCGCTGTTGTGCTCCTGTCGGCCTTCACCTGCCTGTTGCTATTGGTCCAAAAGCAACACCATAAAAAAAAAAAAAAATGCACAAAAAGCAAAATAACATCAAAAAAGCAGCACCACTATCTTAGCTATTCTCATGGACCAGAGGTATAGTTTGAAAAATGATGAGCTCACACTCTTGTGTTCTGTTTAACAGAAGTGTCCCTCGATAGGTCCCCTCTCAAAAAGTTTTCTCAGTCTCAGCTCTTAGTACCCAGTCCTCTTGGTTACTTCCTCCATGGATCTGAAAGTGCCATGCCTAGTACCTTTCAATTATCTGCCCCTCAAACTAATTTACTTTCCAGTTGCAGAAATGATAATAGGGGATAGGCTGGCTGGCTTTTCACATCACACACACACACACACACACACACACACACACACACACGCACACATATTTAAATACTTATATAAACATATATTTTATATATGTTTACATTTATATTTATAACATATAATAGAGTGGAACTAGGCTGCCTGAGTTTGAATCCTTGCTCTGCCACTGTGTGATATTGATCAAGTTACTTAACCTCTCTGAACTTTAGTTTGCTTATTTGTAAAATAAAGAGAATAATAATATTTACCTTAAAGGGAATTTGTGAAGCTAGAATGGGTTCACACAGTTAAAGTACTAAAATGGTGTCTGGTGTGTAGTAAGCACTCTATACCGTATTTGGTAGTATACTATATTTCTATATTGTATTTTACAATTCTGGGCATATTTTAACATCTGTGAATTTAAAAAGTGTCTTATGATTGATGGCATGTAAAAGTTGAGATTAGATTATTATTATTATTTTTTGAGTTGGAGTCTCACTCTGTCGCTCAGACTGGAGTGCAGTGGCCACTCCCGGCCACCGCAGCCTCGACCTGCTGGGCTCCGGCGATCCTTCCAACTCAGCCTTCCAAGTAGCTGGAACTACAGGCGCGCACTACCACGCCCAGCTAGTTTTTTTGATTTGTTGTAGAGATGAGGTCTTGCCAACTTGCCCAGGCAGGTCTCGAACCCCGCGGGCTCAGGCAATTCACTCACCTCTGCCTCCCAAAGCGTGGGATTACAGGCTGAGCCACCGAGCCTGGCTGAGATGACATTATTATTCTTTGTTAGTGGCATATAAAATAATAGTGCTGGCCGGACTTAGTGGCTCAGCTTTCAATCCCAGCACTTTGGGAGGCCGAGGCGAGTGGATTGCCTGAGCCCAGGGGTTCGAGACCAGCCTGGGCAACTTGGTGAGACCTCATGTCTACAATAAATCACAAAAACTAGCTGGGCGTGGTGGCATGTGTCTGTAGTTCCAGCTACTTGGAAGGCTGAGGCGGAAGGATCACCTATGCCCAGCAGGTCGAGGCTATGGTGACCATGAGTGTGCCATTGCACTCCAGCCTGGGCAACAAGAGTGATACTCCAACTCAAAACAACAACAACAAAATAATGTTGTTTCTTAACAATTATTAGTGTCTTAGATTTGGTAAGGTATCATATGGGTGTTATTCCTACTGAGATAATGAAGCTATTCATATCAGCAAGCTTCCAGGGAGATACCAGGATTGTCTTTTAACCCCATTCTACCTGAGAGTTTCTTTAATCCTTAAAAACAAAAGGCCCATCACACCCTTTTCTCAGTCCCTCTTCTACTAGAGCTGAGGCAATAGGATTCCCAAAGCAGAGCATTTTTATTTCTCCTAGGGCTTTCTGGTATTCACAAACATGTTATTTCCATGCCCTTGCAAATGCTATTTCATCTACTTGCAGCATTACCTACTCAACACACCCAACTCCAATTCCCTTTCTCTGAGGAAGTTTTGTTCTCAGGCTCCCTCTCCTTTCCCTTTGCCAGGCTGAAGGTTCCTGGGGACTTCTAGTGTAGTTATCACACTGGCTTGTGATCATCCATTTATATTGTGAGCTTCTGAGGATGAGGAACTTTCTATCTCATCCGTTTGCTCTTGTTTACCAGAGTACAAGCCCCAGGGCAGAGCAGCTGGCTGGACACTGAGCAGGCATTCAGCAAGTGTTTTTAGTGAGAGAGGGAATTAATTCATGGTCTGGCCTCCCCTATAGCCCACTCTCACTCTGTATTACAGCATTCCCCCCAGCATCCCTTCTTTTTTCATGCATCCCCTAACACCCGACTCTCCTGTCTCCAGAATCCAAGCTGAACAACATAAGGAAGGACATTCTTGCACAGGTGCAGAATGAGTGCTGGAGCCGCAGTCAACAACTTATGACAGAGCTCACAGATTTCATGAATGTCTTCCAAATCATCAGCTCAGACATTCACACCATTGCACAGTGCTCCCAGAAGGTGAGTTCTCCCCATCCATCCTTCCCAGCTCATCCAGGGCCCATCGTTCTCAAAAGCTCAGCACACTCTCTTCAGATCTCTGTCAGGCTCCCAATAGGACTTTATACTCTTAAACTGTGCTCACCTAAGGGATCAGTTCATGTGGCCCTCAGCTTCCTCATGTCAGGGGGAAACTTGACTGCAATGAGAAAGGTAGAGTCCTTTCAGAGATGCAGTTCTGCTCTCTGTGACAGTCAGTCCGATAGAGATATGTGGCGCTGTCATCAGGGTAATGGTGCATTGGGCGAGGATTGGACTGCCTCTAGAGAGACCTGGGTCAAAAGGGGATCTGATCCCAGATCACTCTTATTCCCAGTTGGTAAAGTCTGCAGTTGGGTCTGGAGCCTTCACTCCAGAAGGTAGTAGTTATCCTTGGGGATTGACCCAAAGCATGTGCAGGGTTGGGGGTGCCGGTCTCATGCTGTAGCCCTTGCAGTTGAACGAGGCCAATGAACAGTACGTCAAGCTGGAGGAGCGAATAGAATACATACGGTCACTCCATGAACTCATCCGCAACCACTTTGGCATCTTTAGTGCAGAGAATGAGGCACTGGACATCTCGGTGAGAAGGCGATTCGGGGAGTCACCCATCCCTCCCGGTCCCCCTTCCCCATAACCATATCTACTTCACTGCCCTCTGCTTGTCCCACAGCTTCTGGATGTGTGGGAAGCATTTCAGTTTGAGAAAAGCCAGGCCTCAGAGTTCTTGCTCAGCAAGCAACATGCCATCGTGCCCAAGCTGCAGCAGCTGATGGCAACAGCATTGGCAGAGCTGGAAGGCCTGCTTGAGAAGGCCCTGTCTGGTCCCTTCATGGACCCTGCACAAGAGCAGAGAAGCATTGAGTGCCAACTCATCTCTCTGGAACATCAGTTCCAGGACACAGTCAGCCACCTTAGTGAACTGCAGCATGCCTATACTATCTTTACTGGTACTGAGGATCCCTGGCCCCTCTCCCATCAGTCTGTGATAGATGCTTCAACTGAGATAAGGGTTGGGACGCAGGGTTTTGTGTCTTGTTTTACCTTAAGAAAACCTCAGGAATTACATGCCTTCATTGGTCTTTTTTTACAAACAAAAATTACAGGAAAAAATTCTTATATATGTATTTACTGTGTCAGGTGTTAGCTTACAGTGAGGATACAAGGGCCTCACAGTCTGGTAGGGAAGGCAAATAAGTGAATGGCCCATTAAAATATGATGAGGTCAGGGGCTAAAAGCCTGCACAGGATAAATGTAAGGGCACCCTCCTTGTAGAACACAGCCTTTGTGTAGCTCTGTTCAACACAGCTCTATATAGGGCTTTGAATAAGAAAAAGTATTGATGCTCCAGTAGCCAATGTGGTAGAGAGAGGACGCCACTAAGGTCCTCGTTGGCACACAGGAGGAGACCAGGACAGAACTATTAGTCTTAGTCCTTGTATACAGTGGTACACCTAGGCTGGCTCCCTTCTGCACATAAAGAACTTTATGGCCTCAAGTTTATTTGCTCAGATGCAGTCAGTTATATCCCCCAGAAAGGCATACTGTTTCTGAGTTGCACCTTGGCCAACTACCAACTCCTACCATCTCTATCTGTGGGCATCCCCCCTTCCAGATGTAATTTGACCAGATGTAAGGTGGAGGACACTCTGGAACCATCTCCAAACAAGGAACTTTTTCTTTGGCAGAGTATTGGGAGGCCCTCAGCCTATACCCTAACTGGCATGGACCATATACCCCGACCTTTCCTGCTAGGGGTTGGAGATGTTTGTGAAAAAGCAGAGTGGGGGACTCATGTCTTGTGGTGCTAAGCCCAGGAAAGCCTGAAGCATTGCTTTTACTTCCTACGTCCATCCCTATCTCCTCACCAAACTCCTGGTTTTTGTTAAAATAATACAGGGTCTTGGATCCAAATGATTAATAACTACCCCTTATTTTCCATTTATCTTCTGTTTTACTCATTACTTTTGGCATTTGCTTTGTTTCATAACCATGTTAATGAGTATTTTGAAATAAGATTCACTGGTTTTATTTACTTACTACCATTTTTTAAAAATTGCATCTTTATTTTCACTCCTTCCTCAGATAACTAGAGTATTTCTTTGAGTACGTTTTTCTCAGAAAGGAATAAGAAGTGTTAAAATCTTTGAGCTCTTTTTATGCTGAGAATGACTGTATAATGTCCTTTTATCACAGATTGGCTAAAGAGTAAATTCTGAAGTCACACATTTTTTTCTTCTGACTTAAATATTGCATCATTGTCTTCTGACATTCAGCACTGTGGACAGATATGATATCAATCTAATTTTTTTGTCAGTAATCTGTTTACCAGTTGTTTGATAATGGCTCTTACATTGGTTCTGGTCTTTTAGAATTCTTGAATGTGTTGGATTTACTGGCGCTCTCATTCATATATTTTATCTTCATCATCACTCATTCCTTTATTCTTTTCCTCTGAGTTTTAGGAAAAAATTGTAAGCTTGTGTTATAAACTTCCATTTTCTATGGCATCTACTCTCTTTTTCCCATTTTATTTATTTATTTATTTATTTATTTATTTATTTGAGTTGAGGTCTCATTCTGTCACCCAGGCTGGAGTGCAGTGGCACAATTATGGCTCACTGCAGTATCGACCTCCTGGGCTCAGGTGATCCTTCCACCTCAACCTCCCTAGTAGCTGAGACTACAGGTGCATACCATCATACCCAGCTAATTTTTAAAATTTTTTTATAGAGATGAGATTTTGCTTTGTTGTCTAGACTGGTCTCAAACTCCTGGGTGGAAGCAATTCTCCCACCTTGCCCTCCCAAAGTGCTGGTATTACAGGTGTGAGCCACTGCACCTGGCCTATTGCATTTTAAAGCACATATATTGTATATGTATGCATGGTTATGTGCACATGTACATGCCTGTAAGTGTATGCTTATGTGTATATACACATGCAATAGAGGTCCAACAGTTAGGCTTGTGATCCATCTTAGAAAAGTGCTACATACCTCATTGCTGAATATCACTATGGTCACCTTTGAAGAGCTGCCGTCATTATTTGTTGAGGTTTGACAATTAAGTTTGCGAATTAAGTGTGCTTACATTGATAGCACTATCCAAATAACTGTATTGGAACACTTCCCTACTCACCTGATCTGGCCCCCAATGACTTTTTTCTTTACCTGAAGATAAAGGAAATGTTAAAATGAAGACATCTTGATGACATTCAGGACATCAAATGTAACATGCCGACAGCTCTGTGGTCATTTCAGAATGACCAAAATTGCTTTGACAGGTGGAGTAGATTCCGGCAGTGGTGCATAGCTTCCCAAGGGGAGTACTTTGAAGGTGACCATAGTGATATTCAGCAATGAGGTATGTAATAGCACCTTTTCTAGGATGAGTTCACGAACTTAATTGTCACCGCTTGTATATTTCCTAGCTCTCTCTGCTGAAGAGGACAAGAAACAAAGATACCCAGTAGCAGAAAGCCATGTTGTGCTCAGATCTTAGTTTCTAATAGTGTTCCTCACCAAAAGAACCAGAGCTCCTCAGAGAAATGGGTGATTCCAGGGCTGTGACAGGCTAAGTACAAAATGAACCTAAAGTGCCTTTTTATGCTGGAAATTAAGGAAGTGTTAAAAAATTTTTTTAAGTGATGGAAGCATGTCAGAAGGATACAGAAGGGATACCAACTTGCTAAATCTGGGACAGTTTGAGTACCAGTATAAGCACAGTAATACATTCTAAGCTATTGAAAAAAGGAGTTTATTATCCATAGTAATAATAAATAGATAAATCAGTAAAGGTGAAATGAGGACTCGTGCTTATAGTAGAATGTCAAGAAGTGACCAGTACATGTGAGGAAGGACTGAAGTAGGAAAATTATCATTTTGCAACCATCATGGTAAATACCAGATCAGGTAAGGATCATCATTGGATGCCAAAACGGGGGCAGATTTGATGATGAGTCAAATATTTGCACTGTCTTAGAGAGTTTCTCCCAGAAAATATTACTATTTGCAAAAGAAGAAAAAGAAACAGCAATTGGTTAGTGGAGAAATTGAACAATTTGACTAGATGCTTGAAATTAACATCACCAATGAAGGACATAGGACACGACATCACCTCTGCAGTACTCCAGCTGAGCCCAAATGCCATTTTTGTAAAAAAACACATCATGAGGAGCTTTCTAGAAACAAACAAAAAGTACAAAAAGGGACTGTATACTTTTTAAATGTCTGTGTTACAAAAGACAAAGAAAAGCTGTGGTAATGTTCCAGATTTTAAGAAGCTAAGACACGATAAGTGAGTACTAGACCCTAGACTGAAATGCTTGTACTTGAGGGGGAAAAGGCTATATAGGACATTATTAAGTCAACTGACAAAATTGAAATATGAGCAGTAGATTAAAATATTGTATCAGTGTGATGTATGAGGTGGATAATTATACTGTGGTTATGTAAGAGAATATCACTATTCTTGAGAATAGGGGGTAAAGGGCCCCCTTTACCCCTTGAGAATTTGGGGGTGAAGGGCCATGGTTTATGTAACTTGTCCTTAAATAGTTCAGAAAAAAATTCACGCATAATATACATGCCCATACACAGAGCATGTGAATACAGATGGCACAGCAAAACGGTAAAATATCAATAAAAGGTGAATCTAGATAAAAGGTATACAGGTATTTGTTTTATTATTTTTTCTTAGAATTTAGAAAATTTGAACACATTAGATAAAAAGTTTTAAAATGCAATGAAAATTACTGAGTAGATAACAAAAAACATCTATCAAAAGACATATGTTCTTAATCCCCAATTTGTCTTTGTCTTTTCATGTGTTTGGAGATATCATGCCTACTTTTTTTTTTTTTTAACAGAGGAAGTTGTTTGTCTAATATTTGGCACTGAAATAACTGATGTCAAAGATTATATGGGTCTCTAGCTAGATCTTTTGAGTTTATACGAAGAAAGATTGGAAGAGTTTAGATTTACTGTCATTTTATTTTTTGTTATATCAGAGCTTTGATAGCCTAGTGATTCTCAGCTCCCTAATATTCTGAGATCTCTAATTGATGAGGTTCACATGTGTAGAATGCATGACTCCCAGCATTTGGGAGTAACTTTATCACTTTCTCTCCCACTTAAGAAAGTATACTGGAATTCAGGTGAACAAGAATGGCAATCTTAGAGCAATAACCTTGGTTATGGTCTGATGTCTTTTAAGTATACTGCAAACCTCAGTACTGTTATTATTATTATTTTGAGTTGGGGTCTCACTCTGTTGCCCAGGCTGGCGTGCAGTGGCACTGCCTCCCCAGCATTGACCTGCTGGATTCTGGCAATCCTTCTGCCTCAGTCTTCCAAGTAGCTGGGACTACAGGTGTGCGGTTATTTTTTTTTTTAATTTTTTGTTGTAGAGACGAGGTCTTACCAGGTTGCTCGGGCTGGTCTCGAACCCATGGGCTCAGGCCATCCACTCGCCTTGGCCTCCTGGGATTACAGGCTGAGCCACCGAGCCCAGCCTATTATTGTTAATTACAAATTACTTTTGATACATATCTCACAACTGATTATAAATAATTGATTAAGAACGGTGCAGTAGCTTGTAAGATGAAAAGAGGGAATAATTGCCAGAAACAAATACAACAGGAAGCTTCATCATTTACCTCTGATGGTCCTCTATGTGGACCAGATCTTTTTTCATATTCATCTCACTGAACTTTCTCTTGGACTGACAGTTCATTCACTCATTCATTCAGTCAATACATTTTGTTGAGAGCCTGCTGTGTACCAGGCTTGAGGCACATCAACAAACAAATGACAAAACTCACTCCTTAATGGGCCCAATATTCTAGCTGGGGGAAAAAGACAATACATAATAAACATAAAATAGAACCAAATCGTGTAGTATGTTAGCAAGTAATAAGTGGCACAGAAAAAAAAAATAGAATAGGGTAAGAGGAATTGAAAATGCCAGGGAGAGTGGATAGGAATTTTGAATAGGACAGACTACATAGGCCTCATTAAGGAGGTGCTGTTTGGGCAAGGACTTGAAGTTGGTGAGGGTACAAGCCATGTGATTCTCTTAAGTTGTTCCAGAAAGAAGGAACAGCCAGTCAAAGGCCCTTAGCAGGCGGCAGCATGCCTGGAGTATCTGAGTCATAGTAAAGAGCCCAGTGTGACTGGAATGGAGTGAGTGAGATAGAGATTAATAGAAGACGATCATTTCCCCTTCGCTGTCACCACGTCTTCCCAGATAGTCTTTCCTTGGAGTAACTGTTCCTTGGATTGACCCCACCTCTGTTGTTGAACTGAGCAATTTGGAACTCTGCGTCCCTCCAGCCCATCATTTTCTGGACCCTCCTTTGTTCATTTTGTACTCTTGGCTGTCAACTCCCCTCCCCCTTCCCCTGTCCCAAGGAGCCCAGGTCTCAGCCAGCCCTCTCCCACAGGGGATGAGAGTCCCGTGTCCTCGCCAATCGGTGGGAGCCGTCCTATTGTGCAGCAGCAGCACACCTGGCACCTATACCGAGTCATCTCTGAAAACATCAGTGAGTGGAAGTGCATGGCTTTTGCCAAGGTACTGACACCCATCCTCGGAGATCTTGCCTGGGAGTGGAGGACTGCAGTGGTGGGGGTGGGGCAGGGTCTCAAACTGACAGCCCTTCTCTCTGCAGTTCAGCCTGGCGATGGCCCAGGAGAAGATAGATGTCTGGCTGACAGAGGCAGCGCGGATAAGCGCAACCCTGAGGCTGCACAGCCCAGTGCTGCAGCACTGCATGCGCATGCTGGAGGAGTTTCGGACCTACCTGCCCTTGCTCACCAAGCTGGGCAGCCTCCAGCTGCAGAACCCCACCTGCCAGTCCCTTCTGCGAGGTGTGTTAGCTTAGTGTCCGAGGGGAGGGGAAGGGAAAAGGTAAAGAGGTTAGAGCGATGCAGCAACTCAGTTCCTGGTTACTCCTACTGGATACACCTTTCCTCCCTAAGTTGCTCCCTACCCTTTTCCAAATACTGCAGCCATGTTTCCTCCATAGGGACAAAAGTGCCTAACCTCTATCACTATCATGTGGGGTCCTCCCTGCTGGGGGCTGGGCTCAGACTGGAGTCTTAGCTCTGAGCTCTGAGTTGTGCTCTGACCTTGGATTCTAAGCTCTTGGCTCTACGTTGTGCCCTGAGATCTGCTGTCTGGGGTCTGAGCTGGGCTAGGCAGGACTCTGGGTCCTGGATCTGGGCTCTGGGCTAAGGACAGGACTAGGCTCTGGGATCTGGGCTGGACTCCACCACACACTGGATGTTACTCTGACTTGTTGTCTTCTCTACCTCCAGCCTTAGGGCTGGGCAGTCTCCACAATATAGAACTCCTAACACTGGGCCAGCTGCTCACTTGTCCACTGCTGGAATTTGCAGATCGCATCAACCAGGTGGGACCCACAGGAGGGAGGGAAGGAGGTAGTCCAAGATCAGGACCCTCAATAAAGTCAAGTCAAGGCCCAGTAACCCCTTGAGACAAGAGGAAGTGGATGCTGGTGTGTGAGTGGATGGGGTGTTGAGACTGCTGACATGCCTAAAGGGTAGGAACAGTTTCCTTAAGTCTCCAGATGGAGATCTCACAGGTAGTTCCAGACTTTCTGTGACTGAGAGTATGTCCCCTGCCAGGGGAAAGTAAATGGCAGCCTCAAAGTTGCGGGCACACAGAGTGGTAGATGTCCCTCAATACTTTCACCCTGCCCCAAAAGAGCACAAGCTGACTGAGGTATTGTCTGTTCAGCCAGAGCCTTGCAAAGGAGGCAGGGGGGTTTCCAGGCAGTGGTCCTGGGTCAAAGTTGTTAGATACTGCAGATGACCTGTCTTTGAAGCCCGATGGTTCCATTACCCCTTCATCTCTGAGACCTTCACTCCCTTGACCCCCGGCCCTTGAGGTCTGCCTCAGACCCAATCCTCAAGCCCCAGCTTCTGAGCCATTACCCAGTTCTGGTTCCTGAGACCCAGCTGTTCCAGGTCTGGCAGTACGAAAACGAACGAGTTCATGCCCAAGAGACCCTCCGACAACTGCAGCGGTACTGGGAATTGCGCAAGCTGCGCCTGCTCAACTTCATCCTGCATGTTCCCTTGAAGACCTCAGCCTCAGAGCGCTCCAAGAGGCAAATGCTCCACAGCCCCCAGTGGGATGTAGTGGGCAAGGACAGTGGCACCTTCATCCTCTCAGGTGAGTCTCAGCCCTTGTGGCTCAATGAAAGCCTCCTGCTAGGGGCCATTTTCATCCACCGCATCTACCAAGCCTTGCCAGATCTGACTTCTTTAGCCAGAGTCCCACCTTTATTGGACAGTCTGAGACATCAGTCTCTTCTGAGACAGTGTCTTCCATGTGGCTCTGCTACTGTCTTAATTTCCTTGGGAGCCCCCTCCTTACCTTCTCTCCACCCAATGCCTAGCTCCTTCAGCAAAGGTCCTTCCTTTTTTGGGTGTACTCAGAAATTCCTCATGGTCACCTCTCTTTACCTTTCAATGCTTTGTCCTCTAAATTTCACCTGCTGTCTGATTTTGCATCTCATGCATCCATTCGTTTCTTTATTCTTTCCCTCTAAATTCACCTGCCTTCTCTGTGCTAAACACAGGAGACTGAGGTTTACAGACGGCATTCCTGTCCCTCGAAAACTCCCAGTGAGAGACAGGCAATAGTATAGTGATAAGTGCACGATAAAGCACCTTATAGATGGCAGTTGAATCCCAGAGAGAGGGCCAGCTCAAAGGACCAGTGTGGCTTAGAGAAGTCTTCCCTTAGGCAGAGGCTTCATGCTGACTTTTGAAGAAGTAAAATTCTGCCAATTTTGCAAGGTGGAAAGGGCATGCCAGGCATCCTTTCTCTAGCATCCAGGATGACGTAGTTGGGGAATTGGCAGTAGAGAAGAAATTTTCTTATCCATCACAACTGCAATCCAATTGGTAAATCTAAAAAATTATTCAAATAGAGAAGTCATAAAATATGATGCATACATGGTTTAAGATTTTTTTTTTTTCAGTCAGAGTCTCACTCTGTCACCCAGGCTGCATTCGCAGTAGCACACGCACAGTCACCGCAGCCTCGATCTGCTGGGCTCAGGCGATTCTTACACTTCAGCCTTGCAAGTAGCTGGAACTACAGGCATGTGCCACCACAGTCAGTTAATTTTTTGATTTATTGTAGAGACGGTACCCAGGCTGGTCTCAAACCCATGGGCTCAGGCAATCCTCTCACCTCAGCCTCCCAAAGTACTGGGATTACAGGCATGAGCCCCCATGCCCGGCTAAGATTTTTATTTTAGCTCAGAATGTATGCCTGTACATTAATTTACTGACCATGTAACCTAATAACAAAATCTTTTCTTTGATTTGGGATCCACGGACAGTTCCTTACTGCCTTTCTTGCATTGATGCATTGTCTGCCATTTCTGCTTTCACTCTGTAAAGCTAGGCAGCAACATGAAGACACTTTTAATGTTCCTAGAAAGGGAAGAACCTTTACTGCAGAAGCCAGGTATTGAGTAGAGAGAGGAAGGTGGAGGAGGGCTCCCAAGGAGGTGAAGACAGCATGGGTGCTACATAGAAGACACTGAGTCCAGAATGTTTCTGAATTTTTATTATTATTTCCCAGGTTTTTTGTTTTGTTTTTTTTAGTTTTACTCTGTTGCCTAGGCTGGAGTACAGTGGAACTGTACTCCACAGCCTCAACCTCCTGGGCTCAGGCAATCCTGCATCAACTTCCTGAGTAGCTAGGACTACAGATGCACACCACCACATCCAGCTAACTTTTTGATTTAGAGTGGAGTCTCACTATGCAGGCTGATCTCAAACTCCTGGACTCAAGCAATCCTCCCACCTTGGCCTCCCAAAGTGCTAGGATTACAGGTGTGAGCCACTATGCCCAGCCAGTTTCCCAGTTTTTAATAATTGACTTGCCTGTACCTAATAGCATATTTTAATCAGCTTGATTTTACTGAAGACTTCCATAGTTTGCATAGAAACAGCCACTCTTTCCCCATATTTCAGTGGTTATCACAATATTAAATTCCATAATTAAAATTATAACATAACTCATATAAGTAGATTTGCAAACACACACTGACTCTTAGTGAGCATGCAGTTCAACTAGTAGAAGCAAAGCTGTTTGGGTCTTCTTTTTTGTTTTTTTTTTTTTGAGTTGGAGTCTCACTCTGTCACCCAGACTGGAGTGCAGTGGCCACTCGCGGCCACCACAAACTCGACCTGCTGGGCTCCAGCGATCCTTCCACCTCAGCCTTCCAAGTAGCTGGAACTACAGGCGCGCGCTACCACGTCCGGCTAATTTTTTTATTTATTGTAGAGATGAAGTCTCGCCAAGTTGCCCAGGCGGGTCTTGAACCCGCGGGCTCAGGCAATCCACTCACCTCAGCCTCCCAAAGCACGGGATTACAGGCTGAGCCACCGAGCCCGGCTTGGGTCTTCTAAAGAATCACTTGAGATCTATATGTTTCAGCTGAGATAGAGGCATTAGTCAGTATATTTTATGGTAAGAATGGAGAGCATTCACTAAAAGAGCTTATATTTCACTATGGCAAAAGTTCAAAAGTTAATGGAGGAGGGAATAGGGCAGATGGAGCTGGAGAGGTCAGATCACACAAAGTCTTGTGGGCTACATTAAGAATTTACTCAACATGAAAACAGTGGAGGGCCACTGAAGTGTTTTTTGTGGGGAAGTGACATAATAAGATTTTTAGTTTAACATTACTCTGTTTTCAACATAGAGAATGGATTGAAGGGAGGCCAAGAATGGAAATCAGAAGATCAGTTGAGGGATGACTGGTGTAACCCAAGTGAAAAGAAATACTGTGGTGACCTAGACTAGGATGGTAGCAGTGGGGAATGAGAAACGTGGGTGGACTTGAGCTATGTGAGAGTACAGCTGGGGAACTAGTTCATTTTTTCATGCAGGAGAATGTGTGTTCTTTCTGTTTTAACATGGATGTTCCTTATCACCCAAATCCTTTATCCTTATGACCTCTCCATGTCCAGTATTTGGTCAGGAATGCCTTTACCAGGCAATTGCAACACATTGATAAATGGTACGCAGCCTCCTTGTCCATGTCTCCCTAAGTAAGGATTCATACATTTCATTGTTGACTGATACAAAGGCTATATGTCTGCAGATAATAGTTGCACCAAGATTCAAAGGAGATTCCCACTTTTGTCCTGAGCACATATTATGCTGATCCTTTTGCCCATACCTGACTCTGAGTCCATGCTTTACAGATCTGCTCCTACTTGTCTCTACCACTTTTTTTTTTGCATCATTCTTAGATTTCTCTGCTACTAAAAGTAATAAATAAAAGTTCATAGTTCAGAGTAAAAGTTCTGGGTAGTCTGGGCCTTCGGCTGTCTCTAAGCATAACTTCAGATGCTAGCCTGGGTTCTCCCACTCTTTAATTGAGCTCACAACCCTTCCCCTGCCTTTGTTTCCTTCCAGTTTTCCCCTCTTTCTCTAAGCTGAAATTTGTATTAAGAACTTGTATGATTGGGGTTTCTCTCTATGGACTCTCTCCTTTCTCTACCAGGCTTCCTTACTCCAGGCATGTTAACCAAGGACCACATCTTTGTGGTGGCCATATACTATGAAGCTGATGACTTTATTCACTCAAATGGGCCCAAGATGATGGAACTTCATACGAGAGGGGACCCAAAAAAACCCTGGAATTATTTTTTTGGAGGGTGGGCTCCCTGTAGAACAGGCTTCTCCCGCTGGGTAAGTGTTCTAAGACTCCATTAGCATCAGTGTACCAGCTAGCATTGTAAGAGGCTTTTGGCTTCAGTGATTCTTGGGGGGAAAAGATTCTTTCAGCGTGTTTTCCCAATTCATGATGGATGATTTACAAGCACACTTGCCTACACCGCACAAAGTATTCAGCAGTTTTTGACCAAAAACAGCATGACCCCCCATACTCCACCCTCCCTATTCACCCAATCTCACCCACAGCGACTTTTTGTTTGTTTCCATGGATGAAAAAAATCCTCAAAGGGAAATGTTTTGCCAGGGTAGAAGAAGTATAACAAAACATGGCAGAAGCACTAAAAGGCATCAAAATTGATGAATTTAAAAACTGTTTTGAGCAGTGGAAAAAGTGTCTTGATAGGTGTATTGCATCAAATGGAGAGTATTTTGAAGGTGATTCAAGCTTAAACATGAGAATAAATACATAATTTTTTATAAATAAATTCCAGTTTTTTGGGTCCCCTTCATATGTATTTAATTCTTACCCCAGGAAAACAAGTTGTTGCAGGTTTGAGCATACCTAGTAATCATTAACTCTCCCCTTTAGATTCTTAACCAAATGAAAACTAGGAAATATATGAAAATAAAATTATAATACCAGAACAATTATCCCCAAGAAACTGTTTTTGATATACTATGTTGGCAGACCTAGCTTGGATCTAGCTCAAGTGAGACTTCACACGGCCTCTTCACAACCTTCTCCAAATCAATAGAGAATTGGAGGTCTGTGTGGACGTGCAGAGGAAGGTTGAAGTACACTTACTCAGGTAGCTGCAAGGAAGATTGTGGCCTACCTAATATCCCTTAGAACACAAAAGATAGCTCTTTTTACCTCCTCACAGAGGGAGAAGCAAGTAAAGAAGATAGACAGAGGGGCTAAAAATATCACTCCAGTATTGTCTTCTCTAGAGAATAGAGAAGTTCTTTCACTCTGAGAACAGGAGACTGAAAAATTTTCTCCCCAGCAAGGTGTTTGGAGAATCCTACATTTGTCTGACTCAACCTCCTTTCTTGATTTTTCTCCCACTTTCACTTGAGTTAGTGTCCCTTCCTCACTTCCAGCCCTAGTCTCACATGGTATCATGGGATAAATCTGTAAGCACCAGGGAGCCGAGTGCTAAGACTATGAGAGAAAAGGGCCCTTTTCATGCCAGAATGGACGTTCTTACTATAGAAGTATTATGCAGGGACCTGGCACCATTGGGCCCTCTTTCCAGATTAGAGGTTCTAGTACTTACAAAGAATTTCTGTGGAACTAGGTGGATACTCACAGAATCTAGCCAGGGAAATCAGCTGGCCTGGAGTCTGTCCACAGTGCCTGGGGGAAGAGAGAATTTCTTCTCTCCCCTTTTGAGACTGCACTAATCTACTGGTTCTACCATACTGACCAATGCAATCTTCGAGGACAGAAAGGACAACAGGGTCTCTAATCACCTCCCTGAAAGGTCACCCTCTTCTCTTCTCTGCCCCAAACCTGCCCTTGACCCTTCTGTCTGCCAGCTTAGCCTTTTCTTCCTTAGACTATAGCAGCCTGCAGGATTCCATCCAGGAAAGTCTACAGATGTTGTTCAAGATCCTGGCCCTCCAAAAGTCAGGAGACTTAAACAAGATAGCTTTGGAGTGGGTGACCATCATGCATAGCCTTGGTGAGTGCAGGCCTCTAGCTGGGCTAATGAGTGTGGCCCGAGGCAGGATGGCCCAGAGGGATGGGGGTGAGAGGTGGAGCTTGGGTGGGGGGACAATATGAAGGACAGAGTTTGGATCTCCTTCAGGGCTATTTATTGGGAAGAGGAGATCTGGTTTTATTCACAGTGAAAGTTTCATGCTCCTCAAGCAAGATCCCTGAGTCCTGCTGAGCAGAGTATTTTGGTTGGACTGGTGATGTATCCAAGAGGCCAGGAGCAGACTAAGCCCCTTGCAGAAGGTAGAACCCTAGTGTCTCCCACCCGTGTTTCTCTGATTGCTTATACAGATGCCCTGCTGGAGGTGTGGGTGACTTTCCAGCAGAAGTGGATTTTTCTGAATAAAGTTCTGCATGAGATGAAGATCCAGTTTCCTAGTACTGACCTGGTAGGGTGAGGCAGAGTGGACAAGAAGGGCTCCTGAATAGCAGGGCTCAGGGTGGGAGGGAGAGCTGCTGCTTCGTATTTGCCCTCACTGTTGCGTTCTCCCTTGCCACAGAACTCTCGTTTCAAGGCCATGGATGATCAGTATCGAACTCTGATGCGCATCTCTGTAGCTGACCCCATGGTTCTGTCACTTATAGTGCCCAGTGCCAAGAGGAGCCCTTACTTCCAAGGCCAGCAACTGCAACAACTGCTGCAAGCTGGATCGGTGGAGCTGGAGGGAATCATCATGGCCCTGGAGAGTGTGCTCTATGGGGTCTGTGCTCATTTCCCCCGCCTCTTCTTCCTCAGTGACAATGAGCTAGTAGCCCTGCTGGCTGCCACACCGGAGTCATGTGAGGCCCAGCTGTGGGTACAACGCTGCTTTCCCCACGTGCATGCTGTGAGCTTCAAGTCCCATCCAACTGATGAGAAAAACCTGGATGACCAGGTGTCAAGCCCAAGCACACAGACTCAGATGGAGGCACTTGCAGTGCTGGGGGCAGGTGGGGAGGAGGTGAAGCTTCAGGGGCCTCTTCCTCTGCACCCAGACCTCCCGAAGTGGCTGGCCTCTCTGGAGAAGTGTCTGCGCTTGGCACTGGTGCGCATGCTGCAGGACTGTGTGGCTACCCGCCTTGTCTGGGGCCCATCCCTAGGGGAGGCCTGCAAGCAGCTGCCCCAGCAACTCTATGTCCAGCACTGGTTGGATTTAATTCAGGCTTTCCCATGGCAGTGTGTGCTGGTGGCAGAGGAAGTAGTGTGGCGGGCTGAGATGGAGGAGGCTCTGCTTGAGTGGGGGACCCTAGCCATGGTCTCCACGCATATGCGCAAGCTTGAGGTCCTGGTGTACTTTATGCGGGCCCAGAGGGGCTCCCAGGGTGGGCAGCCCCTGCCCTCTGCCCGCCAGACCAGCCTGCTCAGTGCACTACTGGTCATGGCAGTGACTCACCGGGATATAGCACAGCTCCTGGAGCAGCACCGGGTCAGTGATCTGACAGACTTTCACTGGGCCCGCCAACTTAAGTATCACCTAGGTTCACCCCACACAATCCCCCAAAGCCCTCTGCAAAGCCTCAAAACTGTTGCATCTACTGAGCCCTCTCTGCCACCAGCTGCATGCTGGATAGATGTGCTAGGCCGGTCCTTCCTCTACAATTATGAGTACCTAGGTCCTAGACTGGGGCCTTTACCCAGCCTGCTGCCTGAGCGGCCAGCTCTGGTACTGTTATTGGCCCTGGAGGAAGTAGCCTGTGGGACCCTACTGGGTCCTGATGGTATGGGCAAGAGAACTTTAGTGAATAACTTGGCACAGGCCCTGGGCCGCCACCTGGTGATGATGCCCTGCTCACCTCAGACAGAGGCCCGATGCCTGAGCAACTACCTCAATGGTGCCCTGCAGGGTGGTGCCTGGCTGCTGTTGGAGGCAGTTCAGCACCTGCCTCTTGGCTTGCTCTCTGCCCTAGGCCATCGCCTGGCTGAACTGCACCACCTCTATGCCCCACTTTACCAGGAGGTTTCCCGAAGCACAAGCACCATAGACCCCACCCAGCCCCAGCTCCTTGGCAGTGGCTACTTTGAGAAACATCAAGTGTCTGTGCGCCTTGGCTATGGCTGTCTCCTGACATTGCGTGCCCTGAGCCCTGCTGTGCCTGCCAACCTGCACCTGCTACTGCGGCCCATGGCATTGGCATTGCCTGATCTGCAGCAAGTGACAGAGCTGACCCTGCTGGGTGCAGGGATGCGGGATGCCTCCCGCCTGGCTGCCCGCCTATCCAAATTCTTCTCCCTAGAGCGTGAGCTGGTGTCTGGGCCCCTGCCATGCCGCTTGCCACTGCTCAAGCAGATACTGGAAGACACAGTGCAGGCACTAAATGTGGCCAAGGAGGAATTCAAGTCCCAGCAGCCTCAGAGCCTAGCCACTGTTGAGGAGGCTGCCCTACTGCGTGCCCTCCTGCGCTCCCCACTGTTCAGCATTCACAGTGGGCTCCGCCTGCACAACCTCCGTGAGTTGCTCTTTGGGATTTTCCCTAGTGCCAGTCAAGTGCTGGCAGAGCCTATGGCCTGCAGGCTGGTGAAGCCACTCATGGTGGAGGAGCTGCAGCAGTTGGGCCTCCATCCTGGCTCTGATGTTTTGAGGTCCCTGGAACAGTTGAGCCAGGCCCTAAGCCGGGCCTCAGGCATTCTGCTCCTGGGCCCCGCAGGCAGTGGCAAGACTACTTGTTGGCACAGCTTATTTAAGATCCAGAATCGACTGGCAGCCATGACGGACAACCAAGGCTACCAGCATGTGGAAATTACTCACCTGTACCCCAGTGTCCTCAGCCCTCAAGAGTTCCTGGGATGGCTAGAGGGTCCCTGCTGGCATCATGGTGTCTTCCCCAGGGTACTTCGTACAGCTGGTCAATGTAACATCATGGGTCCAAAGAGACAGACAGTAGACTCAATGGGGATCCAGCACTGGATAATATGTGATGGGGCCTCCAGTGCTGCTTGGCTGGACTCCATCACTTGCCTCCTGAGTGAGCTTCCCCAGCTTAGTCTCCCCAGTGGACAGCAGATAGCGAGACCCCCAGGGACCTTTCTCTTGATGGAGGTAGCAGATGCAACAGGCATGTCTCCCACAGTGGTGGGCCAGTGTGCCCTAGTCTGGTGTGGTGGAGAGCAGACTTGGCAATGTATACTTAATGTCCTGATGGCATCCCTGCCCTCTGAGTACCGCCTGCAGCACCAGACAGTCAGTGAGCTCAACCACCTGGCTGAAGTTCTGGTGCCTGCAACATTCCGATTCCTCACCGGCCAGGGTGCCAGTTCTCTGCTGCAGGTACATGGGCAGCAGGCTGCTTGCCCTGGTGTGGCAGAAGTCACCAGCATGGCCCGCATCTTACATGGTCTGCTTGATTCCCACCTGCGCCTAGAGGAGGAGAAGGCACATGGCCCAGGTGAGGAGATGGAATGGCTGGCTTAAGAGAGGTGGAGTCTTGAGGGTAGCTGGGGTACAGGTGAAGTCTGGGGCATGGGTTCTTTGGTGGAGCTGGGCTGGGGGACTGAAAGTAAGGAGGAGTAATAAGGTCAACCTTTACTCTCTCTTACTCATTTTTTTCTTCGGGGGCTCCAATTCTAGCCATGGTGACCTTGGCAGAGGACCTCAGCTGTAGTGATCCTATGGCCCAAAGCTTCAAGTCTTCAAAAAGCAGCTCCCTGAACCGGTTCCAGACTGACTGCAACGATTTGTCAAAAATGCACAGGGAACACTTGCTGGCTGTCAGCAGTTTTCTTTTTGCCTTGATTTGGGGCTTTGGAGCCCACCTTCCTTCCAGGTACCTACAGAGATGGGGGAAGGGGGATGCAGTTGGGTGAGATGGACTGGCCCATGGAATCCACGCGACATCACTGTTGGGGTATGGTAGAGTATATGAGTTTGTCACAAATGGAAGTGTTGTAACTGTCTGACAATTTTGCCTGTGTATCCATCTGAGCAGGCTCTGGCCCCTCTTTGATAACTTCATGAGGAGTTCTATTAGTTGCCTCTCCAACTACCCTGAGCCACCACCCTCAGCCTTGGTGTTTGATCTACATGTAAGCTCTGAAGATGGAACACTAGTCCCCTTCACTGACAAGTACACAAGCAGTCACGTCAAAGGCACTCTGGGCACCTTCCACCCTTCTATCCAGGTATGAGGACAGTGGAGCTGGAGCTGGGATTGGAACCTACAGAGCTATCCTAGGGGTAGTCAGTGTTTGAGGCTCAGCCGAAGCCCACCTGCTCCCTTCATTTAACATGTTTTCACAAGCACAAGAATACATGAAGTATGCTTCAAGTACAGCCCTACGACAAGTCCCCCAGACCAATATCTTCACCTAAATTACTGTCCTACACTAGAGCTGCCACAATAAGTCCTGCTTCTTTCTGTCTTACAGACTGACCGACTCTTGTATGTGGTGGACCTGCTCCTGTCAGGGGGCCAGCCAGTGCTGCTGGCTGGAGAGGCAGCAACAGGGAAGTCGGCCTTTGTGAAGGCGCTCGTGGAGCCAACTCACGCTTACATCTGCAGCTCCATCCACCCTGCCTTCAGATCCACCCACCTCCGTCTCCTGCTTAGCAGAGGGGTCCAGGGCCAAACACAAACCAGCCCGTGGCCTAGGCATCACCAGGATTCTAAAGGCTCCCTGCTTTTCCTGCTGGAGGATCTGCACCTGGCCGCTTCTGGTGAGGAGCTGGGAGGAGGGAAGGAAGGAGCTACTGTTATCTCTTGAAACTATAAAATCCCTAGCAATATTCATTGACTCTCAAATACCATGTCTACAGATCAAACTTTGGTGTTCTATTCGTAACATCTTTTCATTCTATGTATGTTCCCTGAACAATCTCACCCACTCTTTGTGGCCTCATCTACCATCTTACTGCTTTGAACTGCTAAACTTTTATCTCCAACCCAGACTTCTTGTCTAGGCACTAGACCTGTTTATCCAAAATTCTGCATCTCTACCCTGTTGTCCCATTAGTGCCTTAGACCCGACCCTGAGCTCAGTGTCTCCCCACAGCCCAAATCTACTTCTGTTTGTTCTCTTAGGTTCACCATCCAACCAGACACTTAAGCCAGAAATCTTGTTGACATCTCTTCCTGTTTCACCAATATCCATTCACCATGTCTCTAAATTCTGCTTCCTCAATATCTCTTGAATCTTTCTGCTTATTTCCATGGTTCAGTTGACCATTACTTGGAACTCTGACAAACGCTTTTTCAAAACTTTTTATGGTAAGACTTTCTTCTATAGCCTCTTACACTCTGTGTTTAACCAGACTCAACAAGTCAGGCTTCCTCTAGCCTTTAGGGTTGCTGTCCTTATTAAGTATCTACTAGGTGCTATATGCTTATCTATATCTCTCCTCTATTTACCTGGCGAAATCCTACTTATTCTTCCTAAATTATCTAAGGTATTAGTTCCTCCAGGAAGCCTGAGCTCTAGGCTAGGTTAGATACCAATCCTGCGCTATGATAACCAGCAATCACCATAATTTTATGATCGTATACTGACTTGTCTGTTCCTTTAACCACACTCATACTCAGAGCTTTATGAGAACAGGGATTTGTCTCATTCATTTTGATAGGCCCAACAGGCAGTAAGTGCTCAATTAGAGTTTGTAGAAGAAAAGATAAAGGAAAGGGGAGAAATTGTGATCAAAGTTTGGGATATTAAAGTTTAAAGTTTCCAGCTGGGCACGGTAGCTCACAACTATAATCCCAGTATGGGAGGCCGAGGTAAGAGGATTGCCTGAACCCATGGGTTTGAGACCCTGGGCAATTTGGCGAGACCTCATCTCTACCATAAATCAAAAAATTAGCTGGGTGTGGTGGTACATGCCTGTAGTTCCAGCTACTTGGAAGGCTGAGGTGGAAGAATTGCCTAAGCCCAGCAGGTTGACACTGCGGTGGCTGTGAGAGTGCCACTGCACTCCAGCCTGGGTGAAAGAGTGAAACTCCAACTCCAAAAAAAAAAAAAAAAAAAGGTTTAAAGTGTCCAAAAGGATGTACCTCCAGAGGATGACATCTTCTAAATATGGCCATGGGATTGGGCTGAAGCAAAGTATATGCAGAGGTTGTTGGAGGTCAAGGAAATTAGTGGGCTAAAGTTTTGAATGAGTTGTTCAGTCAAACAATGAAGTTCCTTATGGGATACAGAAAACTTGAACTAGGTGTTTAATACTTGAAAATAGCAGAATGATTTATTAAGTAGGTGCTACATGCTTATCTATATCACTTTTAGTGTTCGTAAAAACCTAGATTTTTTAATGATTATTTTAAAGGTGAAGAAATGGAGACAGAAATTTTATAACTTGCCCAGGACATCCTACCTATTAAGTGTCAGAACCAAGATTAAAATTCAAGTCTATTTGGCTTCAAAATCTGTAGTTCCTTCCAACTATATTATTTAACCTTTATAATGAATTTGCATAAGTAATTAGGGTATCAGTGGGCAATAGAAGGGGTAAAGGGAGGTACAGCCAGATCTGTGAAGAGATTTTAACAGAGAAGAGTTTCAATAAGAAGGCTGAAAACATTGCAACCAACATCGTAAAATGAAGAATATTATAGCTGGTAGGCTGTAAAAGGTGTTCTTGAATGGCAGTCACCAAAACATCCAGTATAAAATAATTAATAGATATACAAAAAAAAAAAACAGAGGCTGGGCACAGTAGCTCATGCTTATAATCCCAACACTATGGCAGGCTGAGGTGGGAGGATTGCTTGAGCCCAGGCGTTTGAGACTAGCTTAGGCAACATAGTGAGACCTCATCTCTACAAAAAAAATCAAAAGTTTAGCTGGATGTGGTGATACACATCTGTAGTCTCCACTGTTCAGGAGACTGAGGCAGAAGGAATGCTTGAGCCCAGGAGTTTGAGACTGAGGTTAGCATGCCACTGCACTCAAGCCTGGGCAACAGAGTGAGAGCCTGACTCAATAAACAAACAAACAAACCAGAAAAAAATGTGATCCATTGTCGAGAAGAAGCAGTCAATAGAAACTGACCTGAGTTGGTCTAGAGGTTGGATTTAGCAAATACTTTAAAGCAGCTATTATGAAAGTATTCAAGTACTTAAAGAAAAATAAGACTTTACTGAGTGAACAGATAGGGAATCTCAGCAGAGAAATGGAAACTAAAAAGAACTAACTAGAAATTTCAGAACTAGAATATGCAATAACTGAAATGAAAAATTAACTGGATGGGTGTCTTAACTCATTTTCTGTTACTGATAACAGAATATCTGAACCGGATGATTTGTCTTTTAAAAAGAATTTATTTCCTATATTATGCCAGCTGAGAGGTCCAAAGTTGAGGGGCCACTTCTGATGAGGGTTTTCTTGCTGGTGGCAAGTCTCTACAGTGTCCTGAGGCTGCTCAGGGCATCATATGGTGAGGGAACTGAGCAAGATAGCTCATGCCTCTCTTCCTCCTCTTATAAAGCCACTAGTCCCACTTCATGTTAACCCATTAGTTCATTAATCCATGGATGGATTAATCCATTCGTGAGGGCAAAGTCCTCATGAATCAATCATCTCTTAAAGGCTCCACCTCTCAATACTGCCACATTGAGAATTCAACTTCTTTTTTTTGTTGTTGACATTTTTGCAAATTCTTTGCTTTTATTCAAAACATTGGCAATCTTACATATACAAACAAGCTAAGGTGATGGAAAATTGTGATAAGGTGATTTTTCTGTAGAAACCTTCTTTTAGGTAAACGGAACCATCCATCTAGAATACTGTTTCCCATATGGGGTTTCTTGGAAGCTCTGCAGTCAAATCAGTTTGGGAAGCAATGTGCCACTATCCCCCTCAAGAGTGCAGCACATATTGACAAGATACTGACAAGACAAGGCTCTGAAATGTCCTGCAGCTTAAGCACACATACACAGACGCACATATGCACGTGTACTCGCACACAAAACCAGGTGGCTTTGTTTAGCTAGAGAGTCTCAAACCAATTTGTGTACAGGCTCTTTTAATGCAGCCCCTACTACCATACACACTAATATTCTCTAGAACATAAATCAGAAAATGCAGAGTCAAGAACAGGAAAAAAAAATGTTTTTCTTAGAAATCCATTCTGCATGTTATACTTAAAAAAAATTCTTTTTTTTTTTTAATCTGGAGCTCAGATTCAACTGGGCATTCTATGTTTTTGTGTGTGTTTTTTTGTTGTTGTTGTTTTTGCTTAATTGGGCAATCCTACTGACAGGACAATACACCAGGTGAACCTTCACATTTTTGAAAACAGTATTCAAGTAGTAGGGTCTTGTCATGTCTCAGTAGCAGTGACAACTTCCACAAATGGCAATGAATCCTCTGGGCTCTAGGATTTGGTTACTAATGCCCAGGTGACAGTCCCATTTCCCAGCACTGAGTCCCTCTCTCCTCTAGGAGCTGTGGGAGAAAATATTCCATACATGCTGTTGTGGCTGGCAAGCCAAAGCAATGGGCAACAACTTAAATAGGTTGTGAATCCAGGCCATGACGGTATTTGAGATAGGATGAAGTAGAGCAGGGCAGGTGGAAGCATGGAGCAGGACAGGGGATCAGAGTGCATTGCCTGTATTTTGTCTCATAGAACTTGTATATGCCTGTGAGTGACTGTGTGTGTGTGCTGGCAAGCAACACTTCCTACTGTAGTCATGGTCCAAAATGTTGGAGAGCCACTGACAGAGTGGTTGAGGTTTTCAGAGCACTGTTGTGAAATCTGTATTGGATCAACAGCGAGGATATTGGTTTTACACTCACAGGTGAGGGTAGGCTTTGCCCTGTCCTGGAAATATCACTCTCTGGAACCACCTTATCTTTTCATGGATTCTGCAATCCCTGCAGATGGATGGCAATGCTTCATTTAAGTCAGAGTTCCCAGTTTGGTTTCATTTTGCTGTAATCACTATCCAGAAGATACATTGGAATCTAATATCACTGCATCCAATCTTGGGCGATAAATATAAGTGATAGTGTAAAATAAAAAAGAAATATATTCTGTGTAATCGAATTTACAAATTACACAGTCTCAACATTTTTTTGTAAGCACAATTTTTAATACAAAATTATATCATAAATTCTATCACATGTCATTAAAAGCTCTTTGTAGGCACATACATCATGATTTGCTTAATTATTCACTTAATGTTAAAATATTTTTTGCATAAATATGTGTCTGCATTTGGATTATTTCCATAGCATATACTCTTAGAAGTGGAATTACTAGAATGTGAACATTGTGAGAGCTCTTGATATATGTTGCTAAATTAGTTTCCAGAAAGTTTGTACTAATTTACAGTCCCATTAACATTATTCAAGAGTATTTTTTACACTGTGCCAATGCCAGCATCGAAATTTGTTTTAATCTTTGCTAATTTGATGGGATAGACCTGAGATTTTTTTTTCTTTGTAGTAGAGGTGTTGAATCTACTTTTTATTTTTTATTTTTTTAATAAAGATGTGGGGTACAATTCAGGGTTAGGTATACAAATGTTGATTATGCAGGTTCCCTTGTTGATGAAGTATACCCCTCCCTCCCCTAGCAGTTCCCCTCAACTGCCAACCCTCCTCCCGCAACAGTTTCCCACTACTGCCAATTGCTTTCTTATAGTATTATAATCGTTCAGGGTCCGCTTATGAGTGAGAACATATGGTACTCTGTTCTTTGCTTCTGTGATAGGTCACTGAGTATGATCAACTCTAAATCCATCCAAGTTGCTGCAAAGTCCAGTCCATATGTTTGTCCTTTATGGCTGCATAATACTTCATTGTGTATATGTACCACATTTTTTTAATCCAGTCCAACTTCGATGGGCAACATGGTTGGCTCCATGTTTCTGCTATTGTGAATAGAACTACAATAAACATACGTATGCAGGTATCTTTTTTGTAGAGTGATTTGAGTTCCTCTGGGTATATTCCTAATAAGGAATTGCTGGGTCATATGGAAGATCAATTTCTAGTTCTTTCAGAAACTGCCACACTATCTTCCAAAGAGGTTGTACTAATTTGCATTCCCAACAGCAGTGTAGAAGGCTTCCTTTTTCTCCACATCCTCACCAGCATCTGTTGTTGTTTGTTTTATTAATGATGGCCATTCTTACTGGGGTTAGGTGGTATCTCAATGTGGTTTTGATTTGCATTTCTCTGATGATGAGTGAGGCTGAGCACTTTTTCATGTGTCTGTTGGCTGCCCATATATCTTCTTTTGAGAAGTGTCTATTCATGTCTTTTGCCCACTTTTCAAAGGGGCTGTTTTTTTCGTTTCGGCGCATTTGAGTTCCTTGTAGATCCTAGATGTTAGGCCTTTGTCAAATATATAGTTGGCAAATATTTTTTCCCATTCTGTGGGCAGGAATTCAATTTCACCATGAGTTTTGGAGAGGACAAGTCATTCAAGCCGTAGCAGTGGGCTTAACAGCAGATTGGAAATGGCAGAAGAGTCAGCAAACCCTGAAGAATATAAAAATATTTAATATAAATAGAACTTCAGTCTAACACATATACAGTTGGAGCCCCAAAAGGAGAGGAGAGTGAGAACAAAAATGTTTGAAAAAATAATTACCAAAATTTCTCAAAAAATATTGACTTTCAGATATAAAAACCTCTTCACTCTTGACTCATGTGACCTGAAGATGGAGGATTGACCTCTTGGTTCATTATTCCTTTCTTGCATGGAATTTTTGAGTAAAAATCTTTGAACTTGTTTTCTATTATTGTGGTGTATTGAACCTATGCTTTCTAGCTAAAGAACCAGGGGCTACCCCAGGCTAGGGAGAATACACAGTTAAGCTCCCAGAGTCAGAGCAATAGTCAGGCAATCATAAACTGGACACAGGTCAGACAAGAGCCAAAAGGGCATCTTCCAGTATAAACAAGTTTCCTGCATGAGGAACCCCTGGTCACAGGTCAAACAACCAGGGCATTAGGCTATCTCTCAGGTAAAAGAAGTATTCCATGAAAGGCACACTGTAATTACCCATATCCAGCTCCCCTTAATTTTTCATTAAGGGAATGGTTCCCAAATGCTCAGTACTGGAACCCCAGTTTAGCTGGGGGCTCTCACTACAAATACTACTCAGGAGTAAAATGAAGCAAACTACTAATACACTCAATAACACAAATGAATTTCAAAAACCTGCTAAGTGAAAAATAGACTTGATCAATTGCATACTGTATGATTCCATTTATATGAAGTTCTAGAACAGGCAGAGTTAACCTACAGTGATAGAAATTAGATCAAATAACAATGCCTGTGACAGGGATGGCAGGGGCATTGGCTATAAGGGAGCATTAGGAACTTTCTGGGATGATGAAAATATTCTAAATACCATTGGGGTAGTGGCTACACAGGTGTATACACTTGTCAAAACTTGTTGTTGAATTACACACTTAAAATGTATACATTTTATTTTATGTAAATAACGTCTTAATAAAGTTGATTTTTAAAAAAGAACGCATGTGATATAATTTTCTTTGACTCTACTCTCTTTAACTCTCTTTCTCCCTAAGTGTGATCAGATCTGGTTTCCACCTGTCTCAGCTTCCAAATCTTACTATTCATTAACCTTCAGTTAATGAATAATTGATTATAGAGGAAGAATCTGGGGAAGAAAGAGGAAATTCTTTCTTCTCCAGAGGGAGGGAGAACAACTTACTCAGACATGATCAAGTTCCGACACATCAGATGCACAAAATTCCTTTAGAACCAGAAGCAGTCCAGAAGGGAATAAGAGGAAAAGGATGACACTCTCATGTGGACTTTTGCATGTCCTCACCATTATTCTTCGTGTCCCACAGACTCAGAGAACAGCTGCCAGCCAGTGTTAGAGACTCTGCGCCAGGCCATGGATGGTACTGTGTATGCCCACAGCACCTTGGAACTGCAGACGCTGCAGCCTACAGTCAACTTCCTTGCCACTGTCACAGTGCCAGGCTACTGTGAGCGCCCACTGTGCCCACGCCTGTTTCGACTCTTTACAGTGCTGGCCCTGGAGAGCATGAGCCAGGCCACTCTGCTGAGCAGGCATGTACCTAGTATCCAGGCCTGGCTTGAGCGCTTCCCTTCCATGGAAAGGGAGGGTTCTCTGGCAAGAGCCCTGGTTCGGGCCTCAGTGGAGGCCTGGGAGACTGTGTGCAACTGCTTCATGCCTTCACCCCTCCACCCACACTACCACTTCTCCCTGCACTCTGTGAGTCACCTACTGAGCAGCCTGCAGCTGCTACCTGCCAGAACAGGCTCCCGAGGCTTTGTGGACTGTCCTGACCACCAGGAGCACTTGCGCCGGGTGTCAGGCTTACGTGGCACTCGCCTTACCATGATGATGGCCACGCGCAACATGGTGCGTCTTTGGTTGCATGAGGCACAGAGAACCTTCTGTGACCGGCTGGACAGTCCTAGGGAACGCTCCTACTGTGCCAACCTGCTCCTAGAAGTAGCTCAGAGTGTCTTCTGCTGTGGGCCAGGGCACCTGGACAAGGACCGTGATGAGGAGGATGAAGAGGAGAGGGTGCCTGAAGTGGAATCTGAAGGGGAGCTGGCCCAGTGGGAGGATTTAAGCAACAGCGACAGTGAGACAGAGGAGGAAGAGGACCCTTATGGCCTTCAGGTTATCAGAGGCTCACATCCAAGTAATCCAAGTCAAGCACCATCCATAAGGCCAGTAAGCAGGGAGACCATGGAAAGCATAAGTCACAAGCTAAGGCAGGAGGAAGGTACAAGGGCTTCCAGCTATAAACTTCAGGAAGAGAGACTGTCTAAGACTAGGTGGCAGAAGGCACCCCAAATGGACCTGGTCTCACCCTTGTTGTTACCAGTGCTACTGCTCCGTCCCCAGGAAAAGCCTTCAGATCTGGTTTTCAGTCAGGAGCTGATACTGGAGTCCAACTCTGAGAGCCCTAGCTTGTACCTTGAACGGCAGTGGGAGAACCTGGAAGAGCAGCTGGCCACCTCTGCTGCTCGGCTGAGGCTGAATCCCCACCTTGCCCAGTGCAACTCCATGGCCCAGCATGTGGCCCACCTGGTCCGGGTGCTGGCCAGGCCCCAACAACATGGCCTACTGCTCTCAGGAGCTCTGGGTACTGGGCGCCATACTGCCATCACTTTGGCTTCTAGCATTTATCAGGCCCGCCTCTTCCATCTGCCATCTGGGTCGGAGGAGGCCATTCTCCAGTGTTTACGAGATGCCAGCTGGCATGCTGGAATGTTAAGTCAGCCAGTGGCCCTGCTGGTGCCCAAGAATGTGGATCTCATTACCTTCCATCGCCTCCTGGCCCTGGCAAGCTCAGGCAGTTTCCCTGACCAGTATACAGAGGCAGATCTGGACAGCATTGAAGAACACTTTCCCAAGGAGAACCTTTGTGTCAAACTGAACATTAGGAAGGAAATGGTCTTGCAGAGGTGAGGAGAAGAACCCCCATACCTGAGTCTGCTCTTTTCTTCCTTCCTTCCTTTCTTTTTTTTGAGTCGGAGTCTCACTTTGTCACCCAGGCTGGAGTGCAGTGGCACACTCACGGCTACCGCAGCCTCGACCTGCTGGGCTCAGGTGATCCTTCTGCCTCAGCCTTCCAAGTTGCTGGAACCATAGGCGTGCACCACCACGCTCAGCTAATTTTTTACTTATTGTAGAGATCAGGTCTCGCCAAGTTGCCTAGCCTGGTCTTGAACCTGTAGGCTCAGGCAGTCCTCTCGCCTCTGTCTCCCAAAGTGCTGGGATTACAGGCATAAGCCACTGTGCCTGACCGAGTCTGCTCTTTTCTTATTCTTTCCTGGCCAACAGGCCAAAAGGAAATCTATGGTCTGCTGTGAGAGCTCAGAAGATAAGAGCTAAGGGATTAGGGCTGGGACTGAGGCCTGAAGGGGGTCAAGCAGAGGTTAAGAGGAGCACAGCAGCTGAACTCTGGCCCACAGGTTCTACCAGCAAGTGTGCAGCCACCTGCACATGTTCTTCCTGATTGGAGATGAACAGGCCCACAAGCAGCTGCCCTCCACTCTTTTCCTGAGGCTCCTTCAACTGGCCACTGCCAGCATTGACCACTATGAACCCTGGGACCAAGCTGCTCTGGTCAAGGTGGCCCAGCACCACCTGGAGGGTGCTGGTCAGAGGCTACCCCTTGAAGACCGTGAGTCCTTTTTATCTGTCCTCACCACTCGTCACCTGTCTACACCAGGCTCTAATGAGGGTTATTAGGTCAGTCCCTCTAGGGCCTATGGAGCACCCTTCCATTTTCTGCCCTTCTTCCTAAGCTAGGAGAGGGACCCTTTCCTTTCCCATCTCCCTACAAGCTCATAAGGCCAGGCTAAAGCCATGCCCATTGCAGGCTCCTGGAAGTGCCCAGACCTCCAGACCTCAATTCCTAGTGTGGCCAAAGCCATGGCTCTTATCCACCTTTCGGCTGCCTATTACCATGAGCACCTGTGCCCTGTATTGCCACTCGTCACACCCAAGACCTTCCTAGACTTCTTGGATACCTTCCTGCTGCTGCAGCAACAGATGACCCTGCAGATGAAGAACAAGGCCCAGCGGTGAGTGGCCCCATCCCCTGCACTGTATCTCCTTCTGCTCCCTTGAATTCACTCATTGGCCCATTGTATCTCCAGGGTTCAGAATGCCCTGGAGAATCTGAGAATGATGATCGAGGAGCACAAAATCCATGCCAACCTGGTCTTTGACTTGGAACAGCAGCTGAAAGGCTCCCGCAAGGTAAAGAGGAGAAGATTGTGAGGTCTACACAGTAGTGTCAAAACAGGAGCCCGAAGGGGAACTTGGAAGGAACCAACCAGAGTGAACCTTAGTTCTTATCTCCCTAAAGTCCCCTTTCCCTAGAAATTCCTGTTGCCTCTTCCTTTAGAACTCAGGCTCAAAAGTTTCCCATGACACATCTGAGACGAGATTGATTCATTGTAACACATGAAACCCAAATGTCTTCTTCTGGTTGCCCCTCATGCCTTGACCATGTAAAGTTCAGTATGTTCCCAAGATCTCTATAGAGTCCCATAAAGGATAAGGCAGGAATTACATCTCAGTCACCTCTCACTCTTATGCTCTTCTTTCCTTAGATTATCTGTCACTGCTAGTTGGCTCACCTTTTGTAGTTATCCTCTTTTCCCATAATGCCTTGCTCCTGTCTTTTCATCCACAAAAGCACCACATATACAAGGCTGTTACATACAGTGAGGAAATGTGGATGGTGATGGCAGTAGGGGGAAGTTTACATTATAGCACAGAACCATAAGTAGATTTATAGTGGTATATTAGACATCAATGTCCTGAATTTTCTTAGTCACCCTCCTCTACCAGGCATTTCCCAGTGAACAACTGTTCCCTTCCCCTCCCATCTTCCCAACACCTGTCCTATGATGTAATTCAACTATCCCATTTTTCCTTTAGAGCTCCCAAAATACACTTTTCATGTAACAAAAGCTAGTTTTTCTAGTTCAAATCTTTTTGCTTTCTTATGCTGAACAATCTTCTTTGAATAAACAAACCATTTGTATCTGGCTAAAACTGGTGGGGGTTATCATACCTTTTAAAGCCAAATACTCCTAGTTAGAGGTGTTTTTCTCACACTAAAGAGTTTTTAAGCCGGGCTCGGTGGCTCAGCCTGTAATCCCATGCCTTGGGAGGCTGAGGTGAGTGGATTGCCTGAGCCCGCGGGTTTGATAACTGCTTAGGCAACTTGGTGAGACCTCATCTCTACAATAAATAAAAAAATTAGCTGGGTGTGGTAGTGCGCGCCTGTAATTCCAGCTACCTGGAAGGCTGAGGCGGAAGGATCGCCGGAGCCTAGCAGGTCGAGGCTGCAGTGGCCGGGAGTGGCCACTGTACTCCAGTCTGGGTGACAGAGTGAGACTCCAACTCAAAAAAAAAAAAAAAGAGTTTTTAATAAGAGGAATTCTTGAATAGCACTTTTTTCTTCCTGCTACACAAGACTTTGATAAAGGTTCAGGGAGAACTACAGAGAAGTGAACTATTGCCCATCTCACATTTGACTGACTGACTTTCTACTAGGCTCTCAGGTCATAAGCTCCTAATGCCTCACCAGCTCTTCTGATGGGTGCCCTCAGAACTATCACCTGGTGTTTCATAACTTTAGAAGCATGACTTATGTTGTGTCTGCCTACACGGTTTTCATTGTGTTCTATATAAATGGTGTCCCCTAAAGTTCTCAAGGTACTGGTACCCTCCTATATCCACCATCCAGGATGACCATCTTAGATTAGACCTCAAGACTCCATGGAGTTGCAAAAGAAAGAAAAGAAAGTCAGAGGGTGACAGGAATTCTCTTTCCCAGATTCTTGCCCTACCTTTTCCCAAGATGATTAATACCAAGAATTGTTTACCTTTTTTTAGGGGTACTACTATCCCTTGATCTGTGGGTCACTTACATCAGAGCACAACACAAGATAAGCCCAAGATCTGGACAACAGACACTCAAAGACTCAGAGGTCATTCAGACTCAGATACCTTGGTCATTCACTCAACAGCCATAATAGTGTGTACTTCTCTCAATGTTCCCCACCCCAGGAAATAGCAACACTATCTACTTAATCATCTGAGATAGATCCCAGGAGTCATTCTGGGCCCCTCCATCCCTTTTCTTGCTCATATTCAACTGGTTCATTTATTCATTATTGCACACAAATATATTGAGTTCCATGTATTTTCTGTCCGGTCATTCACTAATATTTATGTCTATATCTACATATATGCCTACATTTACTTCTAGATAGATAGATGAATAGGTAGATAGATAGAGTCCTTGCCACGACTTTCTGAGATGGCTAGCCTTGTCCCATCTTACAGATAAGAAAACAGAGAGGTTGGGAAGACTTCCCAAACTTCATAAGGTTGTGATGAGGATTAAATGATATCTTTCATGTAAAGCATTTAAAAGTGCTAGCACATAGTAAGTGCTCAATAAATGCTAGCTACTCTTAATATTAGGTTAGATTGCCTCCTAACTAGAGCAGATAAGGCACTATCGTTGCCTTCACGGTGCCTGCAGCTTTGCAGATGTTATAGACTCATCCAGGCAACTACAAAACAGTTTGTTATGACAGAGAAGTCCAGAGTACTCCAAAATATCAAGAAAAGCAGAGAGCACATGTCGAACATGGGAGGGGCTCAAAAACATTTCTTAAATATGTAAACAAATTAATGCAGTACATCAAAGTTGATACCTGAAGGTTGGGTAAGACTTGGTCCATGTTAGAACTGGAAGACTACCCCAGGCTGAAGTAATAGCATATGAAAGGCCCAGAGGCAAGAGAATTTGTGCCACACTGGATGAATTAAAAGTCAGAAATGGCTGGAAAGTAGAGTGCTTAAGAAAGAAAGATGAGATTGGAAAGATGGTTAGGGACCTGGTCACAGATACACTGTCAATCAATGTAGAAGTGACAAGTGTTACCGGGCACAGTGGCTCAAGCCTGTAACCCGAGCACTTTGGGAGGCTGAGGTGAGAGGACTGCCTGAGCTCAGGGGTTTGAGAGCAACCTGGGCAGCTTAGTGAGACCTCGTCTCTACAATAAATCAAAAAATAAGCCGGGCATGGTAGCGCGCACCTGTAGTTCCAGCTACTTGGAAGGCTGAGGTGGAAGGATCACCTGAGCTCAGCAGGTTGAGGCTGCAGTGGCCGTGAGCATGCCACTGCACTCCAGCCTGGGCAATGGAATGAGACTCCAACTCAAAAAAAAAAGCAGAAGAAGAAGCAGCAGCAGCAGCGACAAGTGTTAAAGGACACAGTAATGATGAGATTTGGCTTTTAGAAAACCAATCAGGCTGAAATAAGGGAATAAGATAACGAGATTAAGAGTGGAAACAGAGAGCAGTTAGGAAACGAGTTCAGAATGTCAGGAGTCAGCCCGAGTGTGAGTAATGGTTGTGGAGAATGGGGGTGGACATGACAGACAAGTAGGAGGGCAAACTAAAAGGCCCCAAAGATGAACTGGGTTTGGAGGAACAGAGAAGATGGAACCAAGGGTAATAACTAGGTTTCTTCCTGAGGAAACTTGAATGTATTTCGCCACAGTTCTCTGAGAAAAATAACATACAAGGAGAGGAGTCAGATTGCAGGGGAGCTGAGAGGCCTAACCAATACACTCATTTTGGGGCATGTGGAGACTGAGGCCTGTAAGACAACCAAGAGAAGATTTCCACTAAGCAGATGGATACATGGTGTGGGGCTGGGAGACATCCTGGTTAGAGAGAGAGAGATTTGGCAGTGATCAGAATATGAGTGGCAATATAAGTGATAATTAAAGCCATGAGTTTAGGGAGTGTACAGGGTTGTTATGCCTGCTGTGCAGAGAGCCAATTCACTGAAGCAGCAGCAGTTACAGTAAAGAAAGAGTTTAATTAACACGGGACCACCAAGTAGAAGATGGGAGATATTTCTCAAGTCCTCCTCTCTGAGAATTTTTAGGCTTAGCTTTTTAAAGGTAATTTGGCAGGTTCAGGGCTAGAAAATGGGCACTGCTGATTGGTTAGGGATGAAGTCATAGGGGTGTCAAAACTATCTTCTTACCCAGAGCTGTGGGGGTTAGGACCAGTGGAGTCAGTCCCTTGGTGTAGGAGACAGATCAAGGTAGGGTCGGTTGGTACACCAAAATGCAAAGTCTGAAAAAGATCTCTTAAGAGATTTTACAACAGCAAATGGGGAAGCTACAAATCTTATGACCTCCAGTGACTTGACTTCCAGGCAGTAAAAGCCATTATAAAGAAGCAAACTAGGAAATGACAGCTGGTTACCATGGCTGGTTACCATTTATCTTTGCATATAGCTTTACAGAAAGGTGTGCGGGGGGACAATCAAACTCCTGGATACCATCAAGGAAGTCTATAGGACCCCAGGCTCACTGTTTAAGGGAAAATCAGTTTCTCAGTCTCACAGGCAGCTTCCCCCAGGAGTCAGGATGTGAAGATAACCAACGATTAGTGACTGCTATTTGTTGAAACCATGTGCAAGGAATCATGCAAGGAAGAAGACAAGCTTAGAAACAGAACTTAGAAGCAACAGATTTGTTAACTTTGATGCCTGCAGCTTTTGTAGGCATCTTTTCCACAGCTTTTATCCTAATTTCACATAGGCAGTTTCAGGAGGGTGTATAGAAGTGCAGGGTGAGAAGAGACGGGGCCCTGAAAAAACTGCTGAGTAACAGCTAAAGGATGGCAGAGGAAGATGAGAAAGAGCAGCCAAAGATGTTGAAGAACACCCAAGAACACAGTACCTTGAAGGCCAAAGGAGGAGTATGCCTCAGGAGGGAGGGAACTATCTTCAGTGGCAACTACTGCTAATGGGTTACGATAAGGAGTGTAGCATAACATTCACACACACAGGCTTCAGGTGCGGATTGCCTGGGCCTATATGGTGAAGTGGCCACAGGACAAACAACCACCCACTTAGGGCTGCATTACTAGACGTGTAATTCACAGACCAGTAAGTGACAGACCCAGAGGTCAGACCCCTCGGGTGTTTCCACATGGCTCAGGTTCTAGAACTGCAGGGCCTGAATTTCTGTTGACAGAGCCTCAGTATATTTCAGCAGCAGCTAGAGCAAAGCGAGTTCCTGTACAAGCAGCAGCTGACACGGTGTCAGCAGCAGGAGAACCTCATTGAGAACCTGACCAAGCAGCAGGATGCCTTGCAGGCTCAGCAAGAGGCTTTCCTGGAGCAGGTAAACTCTTCCTGCCACCTGCCCTGCATTGCCCTTTCTTGGAAGAGGACAGCACCTCAAAGGATGCCCAGAGGAGAGGATGGGGTGACTCACTGTGGAGTTTCCTAGGGGAGGGGGCAAAGGTAATTGGGTAGTTTGGGGAGTGGTCTCTCACCTGGGGGAGGGGGCAAAGGTAATAGGATAGTTTGGGGAGTGGCCTCTCAGGAAGATGGTCCCTCCTAGAAACACCTTGAAGAAAAAGTAGAGCCTCTCAGGAGCTCACTTCAGAGCGCATGTCTCCTCATTTAGATGGGCAAGGCATTTCTGGGGACTCTGAGCCAGCTGCAGGCAACCGACTTTGAGGAGATACGGAGCTATCGAGCACCACCAGAATCTGTGGTCCAGGTGACCGATGTGCTGTGTGACCTGTTCCACCATGAAACAGGCTGGGCCAATGCCAAGCAGCTGTTAAGCACTGAGGATTTTTATCAGGTAGGGAAGGTGGAGCACAATGTAGGAGGATGGAGAGATATCAAGGGGAGAGTTGACAGGGCAAGACTGTTGGATCAAGATCCAGAGCATCCACGCCTTCCCCCCTCCCTTTAACACACATCTTCCCAGGAGCTGGTGTTCTTCCCCAAAGAGAAGATGACGAACTCTGAGTTGTTAAAGTTACACCAAGCTCTGAAGGCTCCAGGTATGAGCGATGCAGCTCTGCGGGCAGTAAGCATACCTGCAGCAAACCTGGCAGTCTGGCTCTGGGCCGTTCTGCACTATGGGCTGGCACAGCGCCGGGGACTGCCCACGGGCCTGTTGCTGCAGCAAGTGGAGGCAACACTAGCCCGGGAGCAGGCCCGCCTGGGTCACTACCAGTTTCAGGCCCAGGAGATCCTGGAGCATAATTTGGTCCTGACTAAGAAGATGGAGGATGTCCAAACTTTCCACAAGTACATGGCAGAGACCCTCAATTGGGCACAGTACGGCCAGTATCACAAATGGCCCATAAAGGCTGCACTGCTAACACCCATGCATTCCTGGACCATGCAGCTGCAGGTAACCAGGCTCCTCCCAGATGTCTCTCCCAAAGTTCATTTCATGCCACTCCCCTGTCCTCCCTGTGCCTTCACTACCTCCCTCTGTCCCTCTCTGCACTTCCTGCCCATGCTTTCCTCTACACCCCACCTTGCTCCCCCTCTGCCATACCTCTGTCTGCACCCTCCTCACTGGCCTACACACCCTCTTGTTTTCCCTTCCACTTGTTTTCCAGAAGTTGAAGGGGCACAGCCTGACTATGTTTGGAGATGCCCTCCTATGTTCAGCTGCTATAGTCTACCTGGGTCCCTTTCCACCATCGCGGCGCCAGGAGCTGCTGGATAAGTGGCTGGCTCTGTGTAGGGGCTTTCAAGAGGCCCTGGGTCCAGATGATGTGGCACAGGCACTGAAAAAGAAGCAAAAATACGTCAGCATGCCACCAAAGAACACCCTGCTGCCCACAAGCTCTCCCTTCAGTATTCTGTCCTTGCTGAGCTCTGAATCGGAACAGTATCAGTGGGACCGAGACCTGAAGCCCCAGGCAAAGTCAGCCCGCCTGGCAGGCCTGCTTCTGCAAAGTCCCACCCATTACTGCAGCTGCCGTTGGCCTCTGCTGCTTGATCCCAGCAACCAGGCCCTCATCTGGTTGAACCCACTGCCTCTGGAAGAGAACAGAAATGTGGCACCAGCCCCCACTGGGGATCGAGGTAAGCAGGAATAGCAAACAGTGCTTCTGGAGTGTCTGTACTGTCCAACATGCTCAGCCTCATGTCTTTCCCCTCATAATGGAGACACTGAATTTCTGTGACCAGGATATCCCAGATTTCACCAGCCATATTAATAAATTCGGTTACATTTACAATTCTTCCCCTATTACAATGATTCTGAATCTCCTTGGCTAATTGGCTCATGATCTTCCACTTCCTTGATCTGGTCAGCACTTACCCAAATATATCCAATGTTTAGAAATCCTGGGGGAGCCGGGCTCGGTGGCTCAGCCTGTAATCCCACGCTTTGGGAGGCGAAGGTGAGTGGATTGCCTGAGCCCGCGGGTTTGAGACCCGCCTGGAAAACTTGGCAAAACCTCATCTCTACAATAAGTCAAAAAAAAATTAGCCAGGCATGGTAGCATTCGCCTGTAGTTCCGGCTACTTGGAAGGCTGAGGCAGAAGGATCGCCGGAGCCCAGGAGGCTGCGGTGGCCAGGAGCGGCCACTGCACTCCAGTCTGGGTGACAGAGTGAGACTCCAACTCAAAAAAAAAAATCCTGGGGGAATATTTCTATTGGGTGTTTGTACCAGGGACCCATCTGGATGGAGTGGAAGGAACATTTTCTAGAAGGAAGACAGAGTGTTTATTTCCCAGATTGGGAAATAAGGGATTGAGGGTAGGGTGGTGAGGAAATATGTAGCCTTATTTGGAAAAAGATAATTAACTTAAGGACTTTGAATGAGATCATCCTGGCTATTATCCGGGTGGGCCCTAAATCCAATTACAAGTGTTCTTATAAGAGATAGAAGTCAGGCTGGGTGCAGTAGCTCACGCCTATAATGCCAGCACTTCGGGAGGCCAAGGTGAGAGGATTGCCTGAGCCCATGGGTTTGAGACCAGCTTGGGCACCTTGATGAGACCTCATCTCTACAATAAATCAAAAAATTGGCCAGGTGTGGTGATGCAGGCCTGTAGCTCTAGCTACTTGGAAGGCTGAGGCGGATCACCTGAGACCATCAGGTTGAAGCTACAGTGGCTGTGAGCGTGCCACTGCACTCCAGCCTGGGCGACAGAGTGAGACTCCAACTCAAAAAAAAAAAAAAAGACAGAGAGAGAAAGAGAGACAGAAGACAGATACACAGAAAAGAAGGCCATGTAAAGATAGAGGCAGATATTAGAGTTACATAGCCATAAGCCAAGGAATACTGAGAACCATCAGAAGCTGGTGAGATAAGGAAGGATTCTCTGTTAGAGCCTTTGAAAGGGAGTGTAGTCCTGCTGATACCTTGATTTCAGACTTCTGACCTCCAGGACTATGAAAGAATAAGTTTCTATGTTTTAAGCCACTAAGCTTGTAGTAATTTGTTATGGAAGTTGCAAGATGTCTGCTACCCTTCCAAGCATCATGTCAGAGTTGCTGCTGACTATTTCTGACCCTATTGTCAGGAAAGCAAAAGATCTTTCATAATTCTGAATAGCAAAATGTAGTAGGTAGAATTTTGGCCCCCAAAACCTTTGCCTTCTGGTATAACTCCGGTGATTATGTTATGTTACATGGCAAGAAAGACTGTGCAGGTGTAATTAAGGTTACTAATCAATTGAACTTAAAACAGAAACATTACCCTGAATTATCTAGGTGGGTCCAATGTAGACAAATGAGCCCTTCAAAGCAGAAAGGGGGAACAAAAAGGCAATCGGAGATTTGAAACACAGGAAGGATTCAATGAGCAGTTATTGCTGCTTGAAGATAGATGGGGCTACAAAGCAAGTGTGAGAAGGCAATGAATTCTGTCATAACCCAGTAAGCCTGGAAGACCCCAAGCCTAGATAAGAACTGCAGCTCCAGCTGATTCCTTGATTTTAACCCACTTTAACCCTAAGCAGAGAGTCCAGTTAAACTTCTAACCTACAAAATTATGAGATAATAAATGGGCATTGTTTTAAGCAGCTAAGTTTGTGGTAATTTGTTAGCAATAGAAAATGAATACACCAAACCATGAACCTGGCAACCTCCACTTACAAGAGAACCTAGAAAAAAAAAAAAAGTATTTGTCTGAGTGTGGTGGCTCACATCTGTAATCTAAGCACTTTGGGCGGCTGAGGCAGGAGAATCTCTTGAGCCCAGAAGTTCAGGGCCAGCCTGAGTAACATAGTGAGACCCTGTCTCTAATTAAAAAAAGAAAAAAGAGCTCATGCCTATAATCCCAGCACTTTGGAGGCCGAGGTGAGAGGATTGCCTGAGCCCACAGGTTCGAGACCAGCCTGGGCAATTGGTGAGACCTCATCTCTACAATAAATCAAAAAATTAGCCAGGCATGGTGGCACGTGCCTGTAGTTCCAGTTACTTGGAAGGCTGAGGCGGAAGGATCACCTGAACTCAGTAGGTCGAGGCTGTGGTGGCCAGGCCAGTATGCCACTGCACTCCAGACTGGGCAACAGAGTGAGACTCCAACTAAAAAAAAAAAAAAAAAAAAAAAAAAACCCAAGTATTTATCTCTTCTATCTCCTTCAGTAGAAAAGGCCAGGGAGATGGGTTGGGAATGGCTGTTGGTTAGCCAACTATCTGTGTCTACCACACCAGCCATGACTTGACTAATTCCACAGTTTATGGCCTTTTGCTTGCAAAGTTTCTACTTCCAGGCACCAACTTCTGTATTATTGAGGCTCTTTTAGTTGTTAGCGACAGAATTAGCTTAGGCTAAAAAGAGAAATGCATTGACGCCTCTAACCAACCACAGAAAGGGCAGAAATGGAGCCAATTTCAGAGATGAATAGAATCCCTCCCTGAAATTTTAGAGTAATAATTATGATAGTCAACATTTACTGAGTGCTTACCATGTGCCAGTCTAAGTGCTTTCTGTGTATCATTTCATTTAATCTTCACAGTGACCCCATGAGGTCATCACTAATACAAATCCCATTTTGCAGATAAAATGATTAAGTCATAGAGAGCTTAAGTAACTTTCCTGAGATGTCTTCCTACAGACCTTCTCTCTTGTAATGGAGCCCTTAGATGAATCCCTTTTCTAAGGAGCCCAGTTCCTCCCTAAGAACAGTTTCTGTGCATCTCTCTGCCACAGGGAAAGACCTCATGAGAAAGCAAGACAGAGACACTAAAGAGAAGGACACAAAAGAGGAAGACGTTGATAGTGAAGACAGTAATGAAGTTAAAGACCAGAAAAAAGAGCAGAAGACAGAGGAAAGAAAAAATGAGGAGAAAGAGCGAGAGGAGAAAGAAGAAAGAGAGAAAGAGGGGAAGGAAGAGAAAGAGACAGAAAGCCAGGGGTCAAAGCCAGCCTCTGAGACTTGGTCTCCACCTCTTCCCTTCCTTACTGTGCTCTCGGGTGCTGACCCAGAGCTGGGCCCTCAGCTCCGGGAGGCAGCTGCTGGTGGTGAGAACTGGTCCCCACCCAGCCTGTCTCCCTTTTGTCTTCCCCCATTCTGTGACTCCACAGGCCTCTCACACCTCAGTCTGATTTCATCTCCCATCCTTCATCCTGGGCACTATGTTAAGAGTCTTGGGGGAACTCTCCTATCAGCCAGGGAAGAGCTGATCAGAGCCAGATCTCATGCATGGGGGTGGTCACAGGTGCTGGCATTGTGGGTAAGGTGTCCTTGCCTCCCCTTCACAGGCCTGCCGGTGCTACTGACCAACATGGAGCTGGGCCTAGGATGCCAGGAACTGCAATGGCTGCTGCAGCGGGAGCAGCTGAGTCCACCCCAGGTGCAGCCTGGCTTCTGTCTCTATCTGAGCACCACCCTCTCCCTCCATGGCTTGGAAAAAGGTGAGACCCAGAGGGTAAATTGCCAACATAGCTTTGTGAACTCACTAGGTCCCCAGAACTAGCCCTAAGAGGGGTATCATTCAACCTGGCTCTGAGCAGGTTCAGGACTGTAGCAGAGAGCCATACTCCCTGTCCACTCCACCCTCTGGCTCTGCTTAACCTCAGAGGTTAAGCATCTTCCATGTGACCCCAAAGTACTAGGTTGCGAACTGCTGAAGGGGCTAAATGTGCTGGATCTGGGCCTGAACGTGGAAATGTTGGAAGAACAGATGCTGCATGAAATCTTGAGCAGAGAGTGCCCTGAGCTCGAGACCCGCTGGCAAGACCTAAAGATCAGAATCCTGGATACCTGTGAGGCCATTGAAGCTGCTGAGGTGCTTGGGGGCCCAGTTTTGGAGTTGAGATGGGCATTGAAGGGGCCTGGGTGTGGGAGTGGAGGTGAATGTAGATGTTTGGGGACTGTGGGAAGGGGCCAGATCCATCCCCACAAATGGCTGTATATGCAGGAGCGCTTGCTGCTGATGCTGCTCCAGAACCCAAAGCATCGGAAACCAGCCAAGTTTCTGCGGAACATGGTGAGGGTCCAGGCAGAGCTATGTCAGCTGCGTGCCCACTGTGAAGAGTTAGAAGGGCAGAAGCTAAAGGAGGTGGCATTGTGGGCTCCATATCGGCACGTGGTTTGGCACGGAATGGCCATGGTAAAGGCCCTAAGCCCACTGCAGAACCTACTGCCACTTTTCCACATGAGGCAGGATAACTGGCTGGCAGCCACCAAGCAGGCTCTGGACAGCATGAAGCCACATGATCTTCAGCATGGGGAGGATCTGGCCAGCTACCTGCTGCAGCTGAGAACAAAACTGACTCGCCAGCTGCTGGGCAGCACTGTGGCTGCACTAGGTCTGACTCAAGTACCCTTGGTGGGTGCCTTGGGTGCTTTGGCTCTGCTGCAAGTGACAAGGAAGGCATCAGAGCTGGAGAGGCTGGCACTCTGGCCTGGACTGGCAGCCTCTCCCAGCACAAGTCTCAGCAAGCCAGCCCCGGGCATGGCTCGACCAGTCTGGCTAAGGCCACGAGCCTGGCGTGAATGTGGGATGCTAGAGCTGTTGTCCCCATTTGTTGGGCTGCGTGCATCCCTGGCAAGCCACTCCAGTATTTGGCAGGCTTACCTGTCACTATCATCCACGGTGCTGGGTCCTGCACCTGGACCTGGGTCTCAGCCACTCAGCCTCCTCCAGAAGCTGATCCTGTGGCGTGTGCTGCGACCTGAGTGCCTGGCAGATGCCCTGGCAGACCTCACCACCAGCCTCCTGGGCCGGCCCTTGGATGAAAACCTGGGTGCCCCCACCATACCCTTTGAACATAGTCGGGCTACTCAGCCCATGCTGATCTTGTTGCCACCGCCTGACCACCCTACAGCCACTTTGCATCCCCTGACTGTCATTCAGAAACTGGCTGCCAAGCATCAGGTTTGAACCTCGTCTCTTAGCTACTGAGTGACTAGGCTCCTGTGGGCCGGGGTGTGGGGACCCCCTCCCAGCATTCCCATGGATCTTTCTGTACTACTCAGGGACTTTTTGGATCATTGTAGCATTAGTCTGGGCCCCTTGCATCACCCTAGTATCACCTTGAGACACTCTACCTTCCCTTTGTTGGTCCCCAGGAACAGAAGCATCTGCAGGTGATAGCCCTGGGCTCTGAAGACTGGGACCCAGTCTCAGATGTGGTCAGCACTCTATGCCAGGCTATGTACAAGGGGCACTGGATAGTGTTGGATAACTGTCATCTGATGCCCCATTGGCCAAAAAAGCTGCTACAGCCCTTGCTGGGACTGTTGGTTGGAGCTAAGGGTAGGTTTACTGCCTAGAGATGGCTTCCAGTATCCTATGCTACACGTGAGCCTGACCTTGAACTCTCGGACCTCATGGCCAATACCCCAACTCTAATCCTGTCCATTTGGTCTTGCATCTAACTCCTGACACCCAGCCTCAAGTCTGATCCCTAGACTTGTGTCTTACACTTTACCTGAGCAATGATCTCGGCCCCCATCTCACTCTAGTGGTCTCAGACCTGGAATTGGAACTGCTTTCAGCCCAACCTGGAAGCAGGAATGTGGCCACTGTTCACAGAGATTTCCGTCTTTGGCTTATTGTGTCTGCAGAGTCTAGTACTTCCTTGCCAGGTGAGAAGCTTCCCCCAACAAGTTCTCAAACTGGAGGTGGTGGAGGGCAACTGTGCGGCATTGACTCAGTACTTTTCTTCCTCCCCAGCTGTGCTGATTCAGCACTCCATGCCTATTTTCTGGGACCAGTCCCTGGAGCTCGGCCACATTTTGATTGACAGTGTGGAGCTAGCCCAGCAAGGATTCTACAAGCAACCCTCCACCCAGTCACTCCCTCTGCTCCTCCTACATGGCCTTCTGCTACACCGGCAGCTCTATGGAATGAGGCTGCAGGCACACAGAGGGCACTGGTGAGGGACTCCATCCATCCTTTTCAGTCAGGCACTCAGCAAACACTGAGTATCTTCCACATGCTGAGATGACTAAAACTAACACATCTTTGGGAGTCCCAAAGAGTGAGGGCAAGGGGAAGTCAAGGGAGGTTTTTCCAAGGACCGTGGGAATCTCATTTTAAATTGAGTCTTAAAAGCAGAGGCTAATCAGGTAGACATGGAGGCTTTTTGAGCTGAGGGAACTAAACTCAGCAGAAGGGAGGAGAATTCAGTGTGGCTGAGGTGAACATGCTGGGGGTTGGGTGAGGTGAGGTTCATCATAAAGGGCCTTTAAGGCTATGGTAAGGGGCCTGATTTTATCCTGAGGACAGTGGGAAGCCACTGAAGGGTTTAAAGTAGGAGAAGAAACATTCTCCTTTTTGTGTATTGGAAAGATCACTCTGGATGTCATGTGGAGGATAGACCAGAGAAGTCAGGACTGGAGGCAAGCAGAGCAGTTTTGGGAGGCTATGGCAGGGAAGAGATCGTAGTATGGGCGGTAAAGACTAGGATGGTAGTCACAGTAGCGATAGAGAATAAATATGGGGTGAGGAAGAAGGAGTCAAGGATGACTCCCAGATTTCTGCTTTAGACATTAGTCTGGGGTAGGAGGTGGAACCATTTTTATGGGGAAAAAATAATTATTTCAGTTGAAAGCAAGTTGTATTTGAGGTGCTAAGTGGCAGAGACTGGTGAGCCCTCATGAGCCTAGAGCTCAGGAGAGAGGTTTGGGCTAAAGAAAATATTTGAGATGAATATCATCCTTAGCATATAGATGATATTTGAAACCCTGCTTTCTGCTTCCTTTCCCCAGGAGTCAAGTTACCCTAACCCAGGTTCTTCAGACTCAAGATCAGCTGTGGGCCACTCTTAGTAATCCCAGGGATGCCATGCAGGAGCTGGCTGGTGAGACCCTTCCTGTAACCCTTGCGGTCATCAGCCCTCAGGAAAGCCTGGGTAAGGGTGGGGGTGGAAGCTTTGAGAGGTACTGGAACTGAGAAGTTCTTGACCTCTTCTTCAGCTTCAGTTTTCTATGGGGGTCCTCTGGGGGACACCAAGGACAGGGAGGCCCTGATTAGTCTCACACAAACCTGCCTGAGTCCCAGCAGTGGGAACTGGGTCCAACCACACACACCCCGGTATCTGCTGGCCACGCTGATGCCCAGCCCAGGTAAGCTCCAGTCAGGTATCTGTGTTGGGATGGGGAATAGTGATTGCAGTGCCACCCCCCACTGGAATGTGGATAGCAGGGCCAGTAAAGGTATTTGAGGGGGCAATATTCACACAGGTATGGGGGTGATGGCATAAACAATCAGAGGAAGGCCTACTCTCTCGGGCCTGGGAGAATCCTTCTTGCTCCTCACTCCTCGCTTCCATCCCTAAGAGCTAGGGGAGCAGAATGCAATGGCAGATTGCAAGGCCCAGATGCACCTACTGCCCACACCATCTGAACCCCGGATCTGCGGACTTAGTGAGGGCCCCCAGGCCTGGCTGTTGCGACGCCGGAGTCGCGCTCTTCTAAGCGCACTGCAGCGGTGTTCACCAACATGGGTTCCCCCGTCTCGCGGGGGCGCCTGGCGTGCAGAAAGGCGGCTGAGGCAACGCCTGGTGCTAGCCAACCAGAGGCTAGAGTCACTGCGGGATCTGCTGACCGACACCGCGCGCCAAGACGAGTGTGCCGCCCCGTGGGCAGTGCTGGGGCCGAATGCACGGCGGCCCCTGGAAGGCTTCCTAGAGACCGAGGCTCTGGAACTGAGCCAGTTGGCGGGCATGCTGCAACGCGACCTCCACTGCTTGCTGCAGCAGCTGAAGGGTGAACCCCCGTGTGCCTCCCGACGCTGTGCAGCGGTGGCCCACGCGCTCTGGACTGGCCGCCTACCCCAGCCTTGGCGATCTCACACACCTGCCTGTCCGCAGCCGCCCTGGCACTGGCTGCAACAGCTGTCGCGCCGTGGGCAGCTGTTGGTTCGCTACCTGGGCATGGGCGTGCACGCGGGCACTGATGTTCCAGAGCGTGTTTTCCACTTGTCAGCCTTTCGCCACCCGCGCCGCCTGCTGCTGGCACTGCGTTGGGAGGCTGCCCTGAACCAGAACGTGTCCAGTCCGAATTTCCCTGGTAGCCGAGGCTCCGGCTCCAGTCAGCTCCCGTATAAACGCCAGGAGCTGAACAGCAAGCCTCTGCTCCTCCGGGTATCATCGCGCCTCCCGTTCATTCCTGGTTCCTATCCCCTCAAAGTCCCTAATTACACCTCGCAGTTACCCCATCTTGCCTCCTCGCGATCTTGCCCCTCAGTAACACCTCTAGCTTCCCTGATCTCACTCCACCACGACCCCCATCCCCACCTTCCTATCCTTGCCTGACCATCTTCTGGCGCCTCCAGGTGGAGAACGGTCCAAATCCCACGGTTCCAGAGATGGGGCTGCTGCTGACTGGGCTACAGCTCCTACACGCCGAGTGGGACCCGATAGCTGGGGCACTGCAGGACAGCTCTTCCAGTCTGCCCAGTCCTCTGCCTCCGGTCAGCGTCAGAGCACAAGCCCGGGGCACCAGTGACCTGCCAGCTCCAGCCGGCCTGGCTGTGTACTCCTGCCCTGTGTACATGGCAGGGCCCCTTGGCATCACTAAGCTGCAGAGTGGGAACATCATGATGCACCTTCCCCTACCCACGAAACTCAGTCCTGCCACCTGTGTCCAACGGAGAGTTCATGTGTGCAGCCCACCCCTGCTGTGAGCCCCTCTACTAAAATAAAGTAGTAGTGATTCCATATGTCTTCTCAGATTTGGAAGGTGAATAGGATGTATGCATAACAAGGAGGCAGAATGTGACTCACTGAGGGGATAGCACAGTATGCACAACTGAGGAGACAGGAGGTGTATTCACGCTGAAGGTAGAAGAGGGCATGTGCCTGGAAACTGGGGATAGGAGCATATGGGTGAGGGGCCTGGTGTTTGTCATGTTTCCAAGTGGCTAGGTAATGTCCCAGCAATGGCTAACACAGAGAATCCTGAGTCCTTGTCCCATGCTATGGTGGTCTCAGCACTTGTGGTAAATACACAAGGGATATTTTTGAAGGGAGAGCATTAGAACTCAAAATTCTTTCTTAAGGCACTTAGTAGTATTCTTGGCAGTGCCCCATTCCTACCCTACCACTCATTCCTCCCCTATGATGGATACTCTGAGAGTCATAAACATGAAAAACAAAAGCCAGTAAGATACAAAATCCTTTGTTCATGTTACTTATTGAGTACTCCTCGGAACTAGGTGTTCTTCCAGGCACTAATAAGATATTTTAATGAAGAGCAACAGATAATAAAAGGTCAACATATAAATAATTTTGATGATTTTGAATATTATAAAGAAAATATATACTGATGTGTTATAGAGTGATGAGAGGGGAGAAGTTAATAAATAGAGTTTGGGTGGTCAGGGAAGACTTCCTGATTATTTGAGAGTGAGCCATTTAAAGATCTAAAAGGAGTATTCATTCAGGTAGTGTCCTCAGTAGGTACAAAAGTCTTGAGGCAGGAACAACCTTGAAGTGTTCAAGAAATAGAACATGCAGCTGAAGCATGGTGAATGAGGGGCAGAGTGATACAAAATGATGGAAAGGTATAAAAGGGGTAATTCATATGGTCCTCCTAGTAGCTTGTATTTTTTAAAAACATAAGGAGAATCTATTATGGGGTAGTAGGTGGGAAATGACATAATCTAATTTGTATTTTGCAAAGGTCACTCTGGCTGTTCTATGGTGGATGGGTGGTAGGAAAGCCAGAGTTAACAAGGAGGAAGATCTATTTAGAACTGACTGAAATGATTCAAGAGATGATGGAGCTTGGACTAGGGTCATAACAGTGAAGATGAAGAATTGGTGGATTTAAGAAATATTCTGGAGGTAAAAGCCAGTAGGACTGACGAAATGCGTGTGGTGAAGGACGGAAGAGAAAGAACCTAGAATGATTCTTAGATTTTAGGCTTAAGCAGCTAGGTGGATCGTGTGTCATTAACTGAGATGGGAAGTTTGAGAAAGCAACAGGCTGGAGGTAAGACATCAAGAGTTCTGCTTTGATATGTTCAGTTATTATTAGTTGTGTGACTGCATGCTAAACCAGGGCAAGCCTGTGACAAAAGTTGGGTTAGCGTATGGCAGAGCTAAAGGCTTACATGAGTTTCTTTCATTGTCCTCAAGCACCAAAACTTACTGAGCACAACTTCACTCCCTTGCTGTACGGCTAAGTAACAGCTACATGATGGAAGAAAATGCAAGCAGAAGTGTATACAGGCAAACCTTGGTGATATTGTGGGTTTGGTTCCAGACCACCAAAATAAAGTTAATGTTGCAATAAAGCAAATCATATAGTTTTTTTTTTTGCTTTCCCAGTGCATATAAAAGTTATTTTTACACTAAATTGTAGTCTATTAAATGTGAAATAGCACTTTGTTAAATTTTAAAAATTCATATACCTTAATTTTAAAATACCTTATAGCTTAAAAAAAAAAAAAGCTAATTATCATTTGAGCAAGTAGTAATCTTTTTGCTGGCAGAGGGCCTTGCCTTGATATAGATGGCTGCTGACTGATAAGGGTGGTGGTTGATTAAGGATGGGGCAGTTATTTCCCCTGAAAACAGGAACAAGACAAAGCTGCCCATTCTCACCCCTCTTGTTCAACATTATGTTGGAAGTCCTAGCTAGAGAGAGCAATTAGATAAGAGAAGGGAATGAGGGGTATGCACATAGGAAAAGAGGAAATTAAATTATCCCTCTTACCTCTGTGGAAAGCAGTGTGGCGATTCCTAAAAGCTCTAAATACCAACCTCCCATATGATCCTGCAATCCCCCTACTGGGAATATATCCTGAAGAACACAAATCACTCTATAAAAAAGATACCTGCACACGCATGTTTATCTCAGCGTTGTTCACAATAGCAAGAACCTGGAAACAGCCATGCTACCCATCAAAAGAGGACTAGATTAAAAAAATGTGGTACATATACACAATGGAATACTACACAGCCATAAAAAAGAACAAAATCATGAATTTCGCAGCAACCTGGATGGAACTAGAGTCTATAATACTGAGTGACCTCTCACAGAAACAAAGATCCGAATATCACATGTTCTCACTCATATAATGGACCTTAAACATCCAATGCAATACTATACGAAAATGACTGACCATACTGGGAAACTATGGTGGGGGGAGGGAGATGGGATTAACAGTAGCAAATATATGTCTGGGAACGGGGAAACATCCCATATCAACAGGGTGCCTGAATGAAACTCAATTATATACCTAACCCTTAACTGTACCCCACAACTTCATAAAAAAAAAATATATCCCTCTTTGCTGACAATATAGTCCTATACCTTGAAAATCCAAGAGAATCTGTCAAAAACCTGCTTTCACTGATAGAGAACTTTGGTAAAGTCTCGGGGTACAAAATAAATGTGCAAAAGGCAGTCGCATTCTTATACACCAACAATAAGCAATCAGAGAACCAAATAAAAAGCACAATCCCATTCACAATAGCCACAAAAAAAAATGAAATACCTCGGCATCTTCCTAACCAGAGAAGTGAAAGACCTTTACAATGAAAACTACAAAACACTGCCCAAAGAAATTCAAGAAGAGACAGACAAATGGAAAAATATCCCATGCTCATGAATAGAAAGAATCAACATTGTTAAGATATACATCCTACCAAAGACAATCTGCAGATTCAATGTAACACCCATTAAATTACCAATATAATTCTTCTCAGTCAATACAGAAATTTATATTGAAACATAAATGACCACAAATAGCCATACAATACTTACCAGAAGAACAAAGTTGGAGGTATCACACTTCCAGATTTGATTTTATTTTATTACATCGGAAAATATAGTTTATTTAGAAAGCAAATTAGAGAGCGAGAAAGCAAGAGAGAGGAGATTCACCTCCCCAAGTTAGGAGAGGGGGGCCAATGCCAGGAAACATGGCAGCCTTGGCTCAAGGAGTCACATGGTCAGACCATGGCTTAGCAAAGCAATGGTCCACTCCCAGACTTTAAACTTTACTGTAAGGGTATGATAATCAAAACAGATTGCATATGGACCAATAGAACAGGATAGAGATTCCTGAAGCAAAACCTCAATTACTCAACCAACTCATCTTCAACAAAGCCTCCACCAACAACCACTGGGGAGAGGAGAACATATTCAGTAAATGGTGTTGGGAAAATTGGGTGACCACATGCGGAAGATTGAAATAGGACCCCTACCTATCACCATACACAAAAATCAAAGACATAAATGTAAAACCTCAAATTATAAGAACCTTAGAAAATGCAAGAGACACCCTTATGGAAATTGGAACTGGCAACTAATTCCTGATCAAAACCCCAAGTGCCTATGCCATAAGAGATAAGATGGATAAGTGGGACTTCATCAAACTGAAAACCTTCTGCAAAGCAAAAGAAACCTAGCTAGAGAGAGCAATTAGATAAGAGAAGGGGATCAGGAGTATGCTCAGCCTCACTCATCATCAGAGAAATGCAAATCAAAACCACATTGAGATACCATCTAACCCCAGTAAGAATGGCCATCATTAATAAAAAAAAAACAACAGATGCTGGCGAAGATGCGGAGAAAAAGGAATTTTTCTACACTGCTGTTGGTAATGCAAACTAGTGCAACCTCTTGGAAAACAATGTGGCGATTTCTAAAAGAACTAGATATTGACCTTCCATATGACCCAGCAATCCCCCTACTGGAAATATACCTAGAGGAACTCAACCCATTCTACAGATAAGATACCTGTACAGGCACATTTATTGCAGCACTATTCACAACAGCAAAAACACAGAACCAACCATGCTGCCCATCAAAACTGGGCTGGATAAAAAAATGTGGCACATATACACAATGGAATATTACATAGCCATAAAGAAGGACAAACCTATAGACTTCGCAGCAACTTGGATGGATTTAGAGTTGATCATACTCAGTGATCTATCACAGAAAGCAAGAACAGAGTACCACATGTTCTCACTCATAAGCAGACCCTGAACATTTTCCATAATACTATAAAAGGAATTGGCAGCAGTGGGATACTGACAGGGCAGGGGGAGGGGGAACACAACATCAATAAGGGTACCTGATCTCATACCAGGGACAATGGGGACCAAGGGGAGGCCCAAACTTTACCGTACGATCACCACTTGTATACCTAATCCCAAACTATATCCCACATCTTTAAAATAAAATTTAAAAAGGGCCAGGTGCAGTGGCTCACACCTATAATCCCATCACTTTTGGAGGCTGAGATAAAAGGACTGCCTGAGCCCACAGGTTCGAGACCAGCCTGGGACAACTTGGTGAGGCCTCATCTCTACAATAAATCAAAAAATTAGTCAGGCGTGGTGGCACATGTCTGCAGTTCCAGCTACTTGGAAGGCTGAGGCGGAAGGATCAACTGAGTCCAGCAGGTGGAGGCTACAGTGGCTGGGAGCATGCTACTGCACTCCAGCCTGGGTGACAGAGTGAGACAGGAAGGAAGGAAAGAAGGAAGCAAGGGAGGGAGGGAGGGGGGAAGGGAGGAAGGAAGGAAGGAAGAAAGGAAGGAAGGAAGGAAGAAAAAAGGAAGAAAGGAAGGAAGGAAGGGAGGAAGGAAGGGAGGAAGGAAGGAAGGAAGAAAGGAAGGAAGGAAGGAAGAAAAAAGGAAGAAAGGAAGGAAGGAAGGGAGGAAGGAAGGGAGGAAGGAAGGAAGGAAGGGAGGAAGGAAG